CGAGAGGCCCCTACAGCGACAATACTCTTCTCAGCCGCTAGCAGGGACTCCTCAAGGAGGTCGACAGTGAGAGTGGTGGGACAGACAGAGAGAAACTGGTCCCTAACGACACGAAGGGACTCAGGGAGACGGGTGACGAGAAAGTAGAGAGTGATGTACATGGGAGGAGGGTTCGCAGCGCGGAACTCAGCAGGAAGGGCAGCGCGGTAGCGGGTGTCACTAGCACGGAGGTGGGTAACGAGGTCAGCGACAGTGGGAAAGGAAGCGAGGTCAGGGAAGAGAAACGGTAGCATGAGGCGGCTAAGGGTAGCGGAGGAAGGGGAGGAGTAGCGTGCAACTACAGCGTCGTACAAGGCCTGAGAGGTCTTGCACTGACTAAAGTGGGCACGCTCAGAGGAAGGGAGGTGGCGACGCACAGCAAGACGTGCAGCAGCATCGCGGGTCGCCCACTTGGAGCGAACGGCAGAGTCAGCATCAGCAGGTGGGGCAGGGACAGTGCCAGAGACAAAGTCAAAGAGAGAGACCTCATCTATCGCATCACACAGTAAGTACAGCTGCAGGTCTTCAATCCAGACGGCAAAGTCAATGGCCCTCCCCTCAGCGTCAAAAGTAAGAACATTGGGGGTGGCCATGGCAGCAGCTGAAAGTCTCACCGGGCTGGGAGAGTCGGGTAGGTCAGCAGCAGAGGAACACAGCTCAGGAACAGCAGCACGGATCCTCAGGCGGCTCGGGCGGCTCGGGCGGCTCGGGCGGCTCGGGCGGCTCGGGCGGCTCGGGCGGCTCGCGCGGCTCGGGTGGCGTAGGGGCTCACGGGCGGCGCGGGCTGCTGGGGCTGCTCACGTGCAGCACGGCGGGCTGCAGCAGGGGCCGCGGGGAGGGCTGTAGCGGGGCCGACGGCGGGTCGACGGCGGGCTGTAGCGGGGCCGGGGCGGGCTGTAGCTGGGCCGGCGGCGGGCTGTAGCAGGGGCCGGTGGCGGGCTGTAGCGGGGCCGGCGGCGGGCTGTAGCTGGGCCGGCGGCGGGCTGTAGCTGGGCCGGGGGCGGGCTGTAGCTGGGCCGGCGGCGGGCTGTAGCTGGGCCGGCGGCGGGCTGTAGCAGGGGCCGGTGCGGGCTGTAGCGGGGCCAACGGCGGGCCGTAGTGGGGCCGGTGGCAGGCTGTAGCGGGGCCAGTGGCGGGGTGTAGCGAGGCCAGTGGCGGGCTGTAGCGGGGCCGACAGCAGCTGAAGCGGGGCCGGCGTAGGGCCGTGGCGGGGCCGACGAGGTCTGGGCGGGGCCGACGAGGGGCCGAAGTGGGGTCTAGGCGGGCCGGCGGGGCCTGAGCGGGGCCAACGCGGGGCCGACGGGGCCTAAGCAGGGCCAACGCGGGGCCGACGGGGTCTAGGCGGGGCCGACGCGGGGCCAAAGCGGGGCCTAAGCGGGGCCGACGGGCCTAAGCGGGGCTACGCGGGGCCGACGTGGGGCCTAAGCGGGGCCGACGGGGGGTTACGCGGGGCCGACGTGGGGCCTAGGCGGGGCCGACGAGGAGCCGACGGGGTCTAGGTGGGGCCGACGCGGGGCCTAAGTGGGGCCGACGGGGGCTACGCGGGGCCGACGAGGGGCCTAGGCGGGGCCGACGAGGGGCCAAAGCGGGAGCACGACGGGGAGGGCGACACGGAGGGTCGCTAAAAAAAATGCGCGCCTCGGGGCGCGCTTCGGTGGGCCCTAGGAACAGGCCCTAAGAGGGGACCTGCTCTGATTCCATGAGAAAGTGTGAACGAGAATGAATGACTATGAAGTGAAGTGAATACAAATAGGAAACCCTAATTGTGTTGTACCCCCTATGGGATACCCCACTATAGCCTACAGAAACAAGTAAGCTATATGTTCTGACAGTGTCCAGTCGGTGAAGTTGACGATGGCGTCGCTGTCGGCAGTGCCAAGGTCAGGGACGAAATCAAGAACGAAGACGTTGTTCTTGAGGACCGCCCTGCCGATGTAGAGTCCTCCTCTCCCGTGATACAGCTTGAATTCTTGAGTGGTACTGTCTGCTTCGAGATGAATCCCCTTCGCCATCAGCTGGCTGACGCTCAGTAAGTTGTAGCCGAGTCCCTCCGCGCTTAGTACCTTTGACATCTGTAGTACGACGTTTGTTTCCCTTGACTGAAGTTGAACTACGCCTTGTCGTCGTGTTCGCAGGTTTTGGTTGTTGGCGACTGTAGTGGTGACTTCGCGTTGAAGCCGGTGTTCTCGTTGAACGAAGCGTCCTGAGGAGTCTGTTATCTTTGTCATGCAGCTGACGATGTTTCTTGCTCCTTGTGCAGGTTGTCCTGTTGAAGTCTTTGAAGCTTGAATCTGAGTCGTAGGATTTGTCTGCGTTGAGACGACTTGGCTGCTTGAAGGCCGAAGTTGCCGCTGCGGGGTTGTTAATTGTTGACGATTCGGGCAGTGCGTGCGCGGGTGTCCTGAAGTTTTGCAGATGTGGCCGAACGGAGATACTGGCTTCAGTTGTTGCTGCCGGTTGTTGTTGTTGTTGTAGCGTTGCTGGGTGTGGAACGCGAACTCTGGTGCTGAAGTCTTCTTTCTGTGTCGTTCTTCTTGCAGGTCCATGTCTTGCTGCTCGGCATGGATTTCGGCGCAGAGCGCTGCTTCGGAGATTCTTCCGTGAGCTCGGAGGATGGCTTTTGTGGCGCGCCATTGAGAACCGAGGCCGCCGATGATGACTGTCACGAAGGCGTCTTCAGAAATCGACCCTCCGCATCGAAGAAGCTTGTCGCGCAATTCGCGACATCGACTGATATACGCCATTCCTTTCTCCCCTGGTTTCATTTCAACCGTTGTCAGTTGCGCCATTAACCGACTTTGAGTTACACTGTCTGTTGCTTGATACAGGCTCTTCAGGTGGTTGTACGCAAGCTCCGTTGAGTTACCGTAACCTCGGTAAGTCCTTATGTTCTGTTGTTGAGTCGGGGTGATATTTCTCAGTAGGATCGTGTACGCCATCATTGACTGATAGGTGTATTGCTGCTTCTTGTACTGTGTGCCGTTTGTTGGGTATGGCAGGGACCCGTCGAAGAACCCGAGTATCTGCGCGCCTTCCATCATCAGCTCAAACTCGAACGACCAGGTGAAGAAATCCTTTCCATCGAAAGGTCTTGACGTCTGCATCTTCAGAACATGTGCGAACTGCGACTGAACTTGTAGTGCGTCCAGTTGTTTTTCTTGTCCAGGTGAGGGCTGTGGGTGTGGCATGAAGCTGATGGATCCGCGCTCATACGGAGCAAAGGTAGGCTGTTGTTGCTGATTTCCTCGTGCATACGATGAGCCGTCGAGACTCATGGGTGTTGCTCCGTTGTTGTTGTTGTTGTGTGATTGCGCAGGTGCCAATTGCTGGTGTTGCTCGTAGAAGGACATGAAGGAGAAGAACTTCTCCATCATGCTCTGGTCGAAGTCCGCAGGATGATTTGCGGGAGTCTCAGTAGATGTTGCTCTGGGTCTTGTTGCCGTGCCCTCCTCTGTCTGTAGGCCAGAGGCAGGAGGTGGAGTAGGAGTAGTGCCCTGGGATCCGTTGGAGTTGCTCCTTCCCTTTTGTGTAGCCATGCTGATTGACACTGTTGGTATATAAGTTGAATTCCCCCTCATAGCTCTCATACCATGTTGGGCTGAAAAAGCCCTTAAGATCTTTGCAGAGGTGAATTCTGGGTAGAGTTGATGTAGTAGCGGAAGCGTCTTAATAAGAGTTTGTGAACCACCTTGCGCTAGTATGTGAGGGCAAAGTGAATTGATTAAAGCAAAGAGATACAAGATTATATATGAATACAGAGAATATGAAGAGACACGGTTATAACTACTTTACTGTTGCTGTTGCGGTTCGATACAGTGACGACTCGGGCAACTGCTCTGTAACGAGTCAGTTGTGTGTCCTTGCTGTCGCGCTGCATTTGTCAGGTCAAAGGTCGCTGACCTTCGACTTTCGCGTAACCTCCAGCGGTTACTTCAACCTCCGAGGGTTGACTCGCTGGTGCCTCGATATGCTCTGCTTCGTTTGTGCCTTAGTGTTTCGACACGACAGAGGCACTTAGGAACTATTGTTTCCAACAACCGGTACGTCAGCCCCTCATTCCACGTCAGCCTGCTTCGCCCTTACGTCCCGTCCACAAGCCAATTGCCACGCCATCGCCTAGCCAGCACGACAAGACCACCAACTGAACCAATCGTCACCCCCGAGAAAATCCTGAGTCACAGAGTTCGCGACCGTCGAGGAGCCCGAAGGATCGAGTTCTTACTCCGCTGGAAGGACCGTACACCCACCGAAGACAATTGGGTTCCCCTGGACAGAATCGAAAACCACCCCGTCCTCACCGAGTATCTGCGAAGCCAAAATTTCAAGTATGTACACGCACTTTCGTAAGGAGGACCTCCTTGGGGGAGGGGTAGTGCAAGGAAAACTCCTTTTCCTTACTTCGCATCCCTGCTCAACGCGTACATCACTGTAGCACCACAGTCAGCACCGTTACCACTCGCAACCCTCGCATCGACAATCCGCCCGCCACCTTCGCACGTCGCACCCCGACCTCACGGCTCGGCGGGTAACCCGCGCTCCGGGCCTCCGCTTCAACACTTTTCCCAACCTCAGTCCCAGGCCCGTCGCGCGACAACCACAGTCCATTACCGTTACCACTGTAGTTTCGCTATATATTCTTCGCTCATGCCTTCGCTCATTGTACTCTTGCTTAGATAGTGCAATTCTCGTTCGTTCACTCAATTGCACTCGTAACAAGTAACCAAGGAAGAAAATTCCAGGCCAATCCGCCATCGATTTTCTGTTTCCAATCAAAATCAGCCACAGCCTTCCATGTGGCGTGTCCTACAAGCAGCCAACCATGTCGCACCACTCCCTCTCAGTGCTCCCAGTCTCTTCCCACACGGCAATCCCCAGGTCCCCGTCTCGATTTTCAGGAGGCATTTGAACTGGATTTATGCACGGCAACACCAATCTCCTGAAAATTTCAACTTGCATGCGCCATGGCCGCCCAATGTGCATTGTCGACACAGCAATTCAGCATAGTGTCGTCCGTACACGGCTCCACCACTAAAGCTTCTCGCCTGTCACCTTCCCCGCGGACCGCTGTTAGCTGTTGTTCTCGAAAGGTAAATACCTAGTTACAGATGTACTCTCCCTTCCTCGCCATATCACCCCCTGTTCCGCATCCCCTCATTCCCCACCCACACGCTCCCTTCACGCGCCATCCATTCTGCCGCGAAATGCCTCCGTCGTGCATGTGCCGCAAACCGGTGCTGTACGGTGCGTCGCAGACCTCTCCGTCACCAAGCATCCAGACCCAATTTCCATGTCTACTCTCGCACTCACGCTCCAGCCTCATGCGAGCATCGTAATCCTCAAGTCTCTCTTGCCGCCTATCCATGGCCCCGCCTCAGACCACCCCGTGCCTTCTTCCCCATTCTGTCTCAAAGCCGTTCGCGTCGACTCCCTCCCTTTCCCTGCGTCCTTTCCGCTCTCCCCTCTGCAACGCGCGGTCCTCGCCACTTCCCCCCGTGCGTTCGGCGCCAACCCCCCCCGTTCCGCCCAATTTATGCCCCGTTTCTGGTATCTCATTCCTCTCCCTCTCTCCTTCTCTCTCATCTTCCCTCCCACGCGATATTCCACTTCCCTGAACTCTCCTCTATGTTCGTATCCCGTGCAGGCCGCACTTTCAAGCTCCTCACTCTCAAGTCGTCGCCTCACCGCCTTAGATTGTATACAGCAGCACTCTCCGTCTCACACTCTCCTTGCCACGCCTGCACGCGTCGCGCAGCACATCGCTCGGCGCGCTGTGACCGTGCGCGCTCGCGGAGGCCGCGGCCCGTCGAGCAGGCAAGGGGGGAGCAGATGGCGGCAGGACGAGCCCCCCAGGCGGAACAGCGGCGACAGCAGCAGCGGCAGCAGAAACGACAACGGCTGGATGGACCTGGGCGGCAGCCGACGCGATGCAAATCTCCCGTGGGAGAGCGACCTTACCGGGCGAGACAGGATAACGAGAAGAGACGACGTGTGGGGCGGGCGGGGCGTGGGGGAGGAACCACAGTCAAACGACAGAGGAGGCGACTCTTCGTGGGGCAGTGTGGGGGGTAGTGGTGGCGCGCAGGAGAGAAAGGGATGGAGTAGTTTCCTCCCATCGTCGTTCTTCCAGCCGCGGAGGGCGGCGGAGACGGACTCTCTTCCTGCGGACGTGCGCGACCAGGCGATCAAGGGCGTGGAGCAGGCGGGGAGGAGTGGCGCGCGGAGCAGCAGCAGTGCGGGGGGCAGGGAGAAGGGCGTGCGGGTGACGGTGGGGGACGTGGCGGCTGCGAGCGGGCTGAAGGTGACCGAGGCGGAGAAGGCGCTCAAAGCACTCGCGGCTGACGCGGAGGGGTTCCTCGAGGTATGGCGCTCCTGGGCTGCTAGAGAGGGGGGGAGGGTGGAAGGCTTGCGGGAATGGGCTGCTGACACGGGGTTGGTCCGCCAGGATAATGGAAATGGGGGATTATGTGTGGGGAACACAGTGGGAAACCGTGTGCGAGAAGGTGAGTTTTTTCATGTCAAATGCTCTGTGGTTGTCTCCCTCCCTCCTTTCCTCCCTGCCGTTCTGCCTTGGTATGGCAGGTGTCAGACGAGGGTGACGTGGTGTACGTGCTGCCATCCAATCTCTCTGCAGCTGTCGCGCAGCGATCGCTCTGGCTCAAGCTCAAGCCCTGGATCGACAACGCCAAGGTCTGCATTGCTTCGCCCTGCTTTGCTGTGCTGTGCTGTGCTGTGCTGTGCTGTGGTCAGCTGTGCTCTGCGTCACTCCCCACCCCAACCATACCCGCTTCGTTTCCTCTACCCCTCCCTACTCCCCCCTCCGCACTCCCCGTTCCCCACACCCTTCCCTGCCAAAGGTCTTCCTGCCTTGCCTCTCGTCTGGCACACATCATGCGACTTACCTAGGACCTGCCATATGGCTGGCTATTATTTATACCTTCCTTCCTCATTCGGTCGTCCCACATCTGCATTTCTAACCTTGTTTGTTTCAACCCCTCATCCCTCACCTGGCTCCTCATCCCTCACCTGGCTCCTCATCCCCTTTTTCTTTGCCCTCCTCGCCACTCCCTTCTCTTCCTACCCTCCCCTCCTCCATCCCCATCCCCTTCTCTTCTCTCTCCTCTCCCCCCGGCTACCCTCTTTCTCCCCAACCCTTGTACCCCTCGCGGCCTCTAGTCAGCAGCGTCATACGTGGTGCGAGTGGCGTTCGGCACGGCGCTCCTCGCGTCCATCCTCATCGTCTACACTGCCATCTCCGTCCTCCTCTCCTCTCGAAGGTGCCCCGCCCGCCTTCCCCTGCCTCCCTACTCCACTCCCGTTCTCTCCTCGTCCCTCGTCCTCCTCGTCCCTGCCCCACACTCCTTTGCGCCATCCTCTGTACACCACCCGCACTTACCCTACCCATATTCAAATATCCCCTGTGTGTGCTCTATCTGTCCTCTTCGTCCCATCCTTGCATCCCTGTGTCTCGCTCCTTTCGCAGTGACTCGGACAGCCGGGACAGCAGGGGCGGGGGCGGTGGTGAGGGTGGCATGTACTACCGCTCGGGCCCCACCTTCTTCTTCAACCCTATGGATATCTTCTGGTGCGGCCTCGCTCCTGCCTCTTCGCTCTGTATCACACGCTCTCCCACACTCGTGTTCCACCTTCCCTGGTTGTTCCTGTATTCATCCTCATCCACCCCTTCACCCGCACCACCTGTCACCCTTCGCTTCCCGTGTTGTGATGCTTCGAATTACCTTTCTTCTCGCCCACTCCCTCTCTCTCCCCCCTCTCTCACTATCTCCTTCTGACCCAAACTCTCTTCATCTGCCCTGCCCCAACGTCCCCTCCCTCTGTTCCCTCCCTTCGACTTCTCCACACTCTCTCTCTGTCACCTGCACCACGTGCCTGCATGGATCTGTCGGGCCAGGTACTGGGACCCCTTCTACTACCAGCGCATGCGGGCCAGCCTTCAAACGCGAGAGATGAGCTTCTTTGAATCCGTACGCCTCCCTCCCTCCCTCCCTCCCTCTCTTCTTTGCCGAAGTTTCGGTAAAAAGTCGCGTTCTAGGAATGATGACGGCGGGTATGTTGGGCAATCAGAGGAAGTTGTGAGACGTGTCGGATGGTAAGATTACGCTGCTCCATGATTGATTTGCCAGATTGCCAACTGCTGCCTTTTCCCATTTCTCTCTGCTTCTTCCACGTCTTGCTGGTTTCCTTCCATCCACCCCTTCCCATGTCCACCCTTCTTTCGCATCTCCATTTCCACCACATTTCCATCATGGGACACTTGGATACACGTTCCAACTCTCCAACTCTCTCCCACCTCCCATTCTCCCTCCTCTCCTTCATCCCACCCTCTCTCCCTCCATCTGCGCTGCGTCCTTACCGTCTCTTGGCTCACCGTGTGTTTTTTGTACCATCGTGCTCGCGCTTGCAGGTGTTCTCGTTTGTGTTTGGTGATGGCGATCCCAACGACGGCAGGGACGAGGCTCGCTGGCAGCTGGTCAGCTTCATTCCCCCCTCCCTACAACCACGCATGCATACACGCACATGCGCTCGCATGCAGATTTGCCAATGCATGGTTGTGTCACTAGCATGCACGACGCACCATGCACCATCCACCACGTCTTTCACTAACTGACCACCCTATCATGCTGCTAGCATGAACAGCAACATCAAAACAGACATGAAATAAACTTCAGCACAACATGAAACCTTACACCACCACACCGCCAGGTGGGAGACGTGATAGCGAGCCGAGGTGGTGTGGTGGCGGCTCAGGAGATTGCTCCCTACCTCGACCTCCCTGCTGACACTGTGAGCCGTGCCCTTTTCAATGTCTCCCAGTGCAATCCATGCTTCCGTAGCAGTGATCATGGTGTGGTGCTTTGGTGCATGAGTAGCATTTTAAATCACGTAGTATGCCAATTGATGCTACCGGTTTTCGCGTTTCGAATCCTTCAAACTACCTTTGTTTACACTACCTTCCTCTCATGCCTTTGACCAAACTTGTGTGGCATTTGGCATGTGTTGTGGCATGTGGGTGTTGCATGGGGCATGGTGCATGGCACATGGTACGTGGTTGGTACGCGTGGTGCAATTTCCAGTCGGACGAGTCCTTTATGCTACCGGTGCTTCAGCGATTCGATGGCAGCCCAGAAGTGGACCCACAGGTGACACATTCATAGCTCTCCCATTCATAACTCTCCCATGTGTAGATGTAGACCCTTCTGTGCCACGCCATCACATACGCACGCACGAGCCAGTTGTGTTTCGATTGATACGCGGTTGGCACGGCTGCTTGCACCTCACCTCCGTTGACTTGTGCCTTGCCACAAAGCCATCCCCAATGTGTGTTTTTTGAGAATTCTCAAAAAACACCTCCGTTGACTTGTGCCTTGCCACAAAGCCATCCCTAACCCCACCAGCAACGAAGCTACTATCGCTCCGTTACCTTGTGCCGCCCATCGCAGCGACCATTCAACCATGACCGCCGTATCTATCCATCCACCCACCCACCCACCACTTCCATACTCACGCAAGAAGGCTGGCATAGCATCCATGCGTCCCTCTTTTCCTACCAACCCAATGCACCTGCGCTGCGCATCCCCTGGTTGTCCCATCCACCCTGCCAGCCACCCATCACTTGCCACTCACCACCCACAACCCATCACCCACCACCCACCACCAACCACCCACCAGCTCACACCCACCATCCTGTACCAACTGCTGTGTACCTGGCAGGGCAACATCCTCTACACCTTCCCGCTGCTGCAGCGCACGGCCGGTGATCTTGCAGGCAAGCAGCGCAAGCAGCCCAGCCCAGCGTTGGACCCCGTGCAGCAGACACGCTACTTCGCTGAGAACCTCTGGACCTTCAGGTAGGCTGGAGTCACTTTTAACAAATTCTTTAACAATGACGTTAGCACGCAAGCAGCGCAAGCAGCCCAGCCCAGCGCTGGACCCCATGCAGCAGACACGCTACTTCGCTGAGAACCTCTGGACCTTCAGGTACCATGGGCTCGCATCGCAACTTCCCTCGTCACCCCTCTGTTGCCCCTCCTTTGTCCCTCTTGCTTCCTTCCTTCACCCTTTTTTGCCCCTTCCCCGCCACTCTCCTGCCCCACTCCCTCCCCTCTTTCACCCTTCTCTCACCCCTCTCCATTCCTTATCACCGTTCGCATTCACAAATAATCGAAGCAATGGCAACTTTTGCAGGATTTACAGAATTTTATGCAAACAACAAATTGCTTGATTGAGCACACGGCGCCTTCCGCCATTCCAACCCCCTTCTCATATCTCCATCTCCTCTCCTCCCACCTCCTCCCTCCGTTCCACTCGTCTCCTCTCCCCTCCCCTTGCATGATTCAGTGAGGCTCCGGCATGGAAGCGTACGCTAGCAGCAGGGCTAGGTGTGGTGAACGTGGTGGGGGTCGTCTGGCTCTCCTCCCTCCTCAGGTACCGTCTGCCTCTCCTCCCTCCTCAAGAGAACTCGTTTCCATTCAAAATATCTGATTTTGGCCTCGTATGGCATTGTCAACCAAGTGACAAGCCACATGTTTTTTCCATGTTGCTTGCTTCCAGCCAATAGTGTTGATGTCAGAACGCCCTCTGCTCTCTTAATCGCACATGCTGCTTCCTCTCCTTATCATCCCCTTCGTCCCTCCATGCCCACCTGTCTGTCCATTCCTCCTTTTAGTTTCTAATCCTCTCTACCTCATGTCATTATCGTCGTGTGCACCCATATTTTTTTCTCCTATCTGTCTCTCTACCTGCCTGTACTTTTCTGTACCTGTCTGTGTTTCTGTGTGTCTGTCGTTCTCTCCCCCCCCCCACAGCGATCCGGCAATAGTGCGGGAGGCAGGAGTGGAGTTCGTTCAGCTTATCTCCTCGCTCATGCCATGGTTGCAGGTAACCCACTCATGCCATGGGTCCAAGTAACACATTCACTCGTGCCCATTCGTGCACCACTCTTTTCCTTCGCACGGCCTTTCCATAGACTTCAATCGCTATGCATACTTGTTTCCCTTCCCCTCATCTCACCTCCCCCTCACCGTCTGCTTTCTTCAGCTTTTCTCATCTTCTTCTGTTTCTCCTCTCTTTCTCCTTACCCTGTTTCTTCAGGGCTATGCAGCAGCTGCGTGCTACCTGTGGCAGGAGCTTTGAGTCGACTCAAAATTCACCTCACCTTTCTTCCCTCCCCTTCCGTCCACCTCCCATCCACCAGGGCTATGCAGCGGTGTTCGTCGCCATCCCTGCAGTGCGCTACCTATGGCTGCAGCTCGAGATCGCTAATAAGACTTCTGAATTGACTCAAAAGTCACCTTCCATCCTCCCCACCCCTCTCCCCCTCCGAACCCGCCTCCCCATCCACCAGGGCTATGCAGCGGTGTTCTTTGCCATCCCTGCAGTGCGCTACCTGTGGCTGCAGCGCGCCAATGAGACCATCGCCCTGCGCAACTCCCGCCGCCAGCAGAGCGCCTTGCAGCTCGCCCAGCCCAACGCTCAGCTCCGCCGCAAGGTGGGTAGGAGAGGATATCATCTCTAGGCGCTGCTGCAAATCTCTTCGAGTCTGTTCTAGGCGCCTCACTGATCAACTGCAGCTCACCCAGCCCAACGCCCAGCTCCGCCACAAGGTGCGCAGGAGGGGGCGAGGTGGGCAGGAGAGTGGGAGGCCTCTGCTCATGCCCTCTCCCTACACGGTGGTAATCACGCTCTCGCTTCTTGTCCCCCCTGCCTCCCCTTACCAGTTGGCATACGCACGGCAGCAGGCGCGCAGCACGGTGGTATCAGAGGACAAGGTGATCTACACCACGGCCAAGGACGTGGCAGAGCAGTCCCCACTCATCCCGCTTCCCTTCCCACCCAAACCCCTCCCTTCTCCCCACAACCCCCCACCTTCCCATGGCAGTTGGCAAACGCGCGGGAGCAGGCGCGCAGCATGGTGGTATCAGAGGACAAGGTGATCTACACCACGGCCAAGGACGTGGCAGAGCAAGACCTGGAGGCCCGCGAGTGGGAGAGGAAGCTGGAGGGCCGCTGATGGGGTCACACGCGGTAGGGTAGGGTGGTGGCACAGACAGCGCGGCGACATGTGGCGGGAACATGTGGCAGGGTGGCAATATAGCTATCGTGTGATTATTAATCATTCCTGCTGTCTTGAGGGAGTGTGCGGCAGAGCCACTGGCAAATGGTTACATCACGTGCCATTCAGCCTAACCATGCTACTGCTCCTCTTAGTGACCGACCGCTTTGAAGATCCGGCATAATGTATCTATCTTGTGGCTGTGAGGAAGAGGTTAGGTTTGGTGACTTGGGGTGTGTATATTCAGGTTTGTGGATGATTTGGATTGTCGTAGCGATGTGGTGAGGCGAGAGTTCGTAGTGACCAATGCAGGGCGTTAGTGACTACTGTTGTAGTTAAGTTTGTTTATTTGCTTTTTTTAATTTTTTTGTTTGACCAGTACCTGGATCTTAATTCACAAATCACTTCTGAAAATTCTGAAGATCTCTTACCGTAATACCCCGGATATAAGACCCTCTCCAGTTGTAGACCCCCGGGTCTATAATACGGAGGGGGGTACGCTTAATGGGTCGTTTTTGTTATACCCCCCTAAATGGGGGTTAACATTATAAGACCCCCCTCCCCCTAGAGAATTGGTCGATTTATTGGCAATGAATGCAAAAACGAAGCACACAGTGTTGACATATTTGACTTCCAAAACAGAAGTAGTATCCTTGACCTTATGATAATACCCGGCGATCGTTACCCTTCCGCAGGTGCTAGTTTCCTGTATCGCGCCTTCGCCATCTCCCCTCCCTCCAGTCGTTCGTCCGCTGTCCGCTCCCCTCCCATTACCTTCGCGGGTCCTCTCCTCCCTCCTCGTCGCCCTCTCTTTCTCCCCTCGCTCATGCTGTCGTCGCCGAAATGCCCCCTTCCATCGCCTTTCATCCCTCCCCTCCCATCACACACCGTCGCCTATGCTCTTGGTCTGAAACGCCCTCCCCCCGCCCTTCCTCCCTCCCCTCTCTTCATTTTTCCCGTCACCTTCGCGCTCTTTCACAAACGTCGCATGCGCGCTTTCCCTCCCGACGCCTTGCGCTCGCCTTCCCGTCGCCTGCGCGCTTTCCTTCCCGTCACCTTAGCGCTTTCCCTCCCGTCACCTTAGCGCTTTCCCTCCCGTCACCTTAGCGCTTTCCCTCCCGTCACCTTAGCGCTTTCCCTCCCGCCGCCTTAGCGCTATCCCTCCCGTCGCCTTAGCGCTCTCCCTCCCGCCGCCTTAGCGCTTTCCCTCCCGCCGCCTTAGCGCTTTCCTTCCCTGCGCGCTTTCCCTCCCATCGCCTGCGCTTTCCCTCCTGTCGCTGTAGCGCTCTCCCTCCCGTCACCTTCGCACTCTCCCTCCCGTCGCCCTTGCAATCTCCCCTCCTATACCGTCGCCCACTTCATAAGACCATGATTAGAAGTACCTTTGAGATACCGAAGAGCTCGCTTGGCTGCATGCATATGAATAGGTGAAGGGGCACTCATGTGTTGAGCTAGCTTAGATACCGTGAATGCTAAGTCGGGCCTTGTGCATAGGGCTGCATACATGAGACACCCAACCTGACTTTGGTAGAGAGCTAGGTCTTGTGGGGATACCTTAAGTGAATTCTCACCATGATGCTCACTCTCCTCAAGACACAACTCCTCCTATGATATCAAGGCTTGACTCTCTCTCTTCATAGGGCTGATGTGAAGACAAAGGGACAAAGTTGGAAGGAAGTGGGGTAAGTGATGGCTTGCTATCATCAAGACCAAACCTCTCAAGGACCTTTTGGATGTACCTTTGCTGGAATAGGAAGATGGACCGTGTCTTACGATCTCTCACAATGTTCATACCAAGATAATGACTCGGCTCACCAATATCGGTCATCGTGAATGCACTTGTGAGAATACCTTTCACCTTGTTGAGAAGATCAAGAGAACCTGAGACTAGGAGGAGGTCATCGACATATACCAAGAGCCAAATGTACTCCCCCTCACTCGTGTGCATGAAGTACAGAGCGTTGTCTCTCATGGACCTTGTGAAACCATGCTTGAAAAGTACCTGCTCAAGAGCATGATACCAAACCCGTGGGGACTGTTTGAGACCATAAAGGGACTTTACCAAGCGACACACTCGACCCGTACCGTCATCATAACCTTTGGGTTGTGCCATGTATACCTCTTCTTCAAAGACACCGTAGAGAAATGCGTTCTTGACATCCATTTGATGGATATGGAGACCAAGATATGCAGCTATGGCGAGGAGGACTCGTACCGTGGTGTACTTTGCTACCGCGGCAAAGGTTTCGGTGAAGTCAAGACCTGGAATTCGGGAATAACCTTTTGCCACTAACCTTGCCTTGTACCTATCAAGGCTACCATCACCTTTTACCTTGATCTTGTACACCCATTTGACACCAATTACGGTACCTTCTTCCCTGGAGGTGGCTCAACAAGACGCCATGTACCTCGCTTCATGAGACTCTCAATCTCTTCTTCCTCGGCTTTCAACCAATGCTCTCTCTCGGGACTTGCCATTGCCTCACGACGACTCAAGGGCTCTCGCGGAAGGTGTGATGCTGCCATGCATATTGCCTCTACCTTCTAGTGAATGCAATTCTCACTCTCCTCACATGTGCACCTTGATGACATGTCAACCATGAAAGTGAAGGGCTTTTTTACCTTGCGGACTCGTTTACCTTTACCAAACTCCTCACTTGGCTGAGACACATTAGTGGTAGGGTTCGGTCTCACAGTGTTTGATTGCGTTGATGCGGTCATTTGCGGCTGAGACAACGGCTGCGACATCGGCTGCGACGGCGGCACGGCTGCTTGTTCTTCTCCTGGCATGGAAATATCTTGATTATCGGTGTTGACTTGAGGATTAGGTATGGTGACTCGTGGCGGTGAAGCTGAAATGTTTGTCGGCATAGTTGGTTGTGAAGATGCTCTTGGTGGGGATCTTGAGACTAGAAGCTTGGGAATTGATGATGACACTGCCTTGTCGAGAGGTGGTGATGGTTGGGGCTGGTTGGTGTTGTTGCTGGGTGTTGAAGATGGTGGTAACTGATGACGACCGAATCCGGGACGTGGGGGTGAAGTTGAGAAAGGTCTTGGGTGAAGAAGTGGAATGTTGGAGCTGGTGTTGGTGGTGACTCGCTGAAGTGATCCTCGTGCTATGAGCTGGCTTGACGTTGGAACAAGTGATGATTGGTATGAGAACGAGGTGTTGCGGTGACGGTTGACTTGTTGCTAGGAAGAGTCGTAGATGGTGTTGATGTAGGTACTTGGGGTCTTGTAGCTGTTGATTGCTGCTGCATGGGATGATGATGAGCTTCTATAGTTGCCTCTGGAGTGATGGCTGGTGATGGGTTTGATGGCGTACTGGTGGGCTGATCCGGTTGGCGTTGAAATTGTGAGGTTGGTGTTGATATAGCTGGCTGGTTTGTGACTGTTGGCTGCTGCTCCTTTGGTGGTGATGGAACGGTGACTTGCTGCGGTGGATTGTCTTCATTTGATGGCTGAACTTCATCTCCACTTGGTTGAGTAGCCGCTGGTGGCACTGGCGTGGCACGGCTGGACTCGTTGACGACGGCTTGAGGGAGATCGATGACCGGTCCGCTATGGCCAGAATCGGTGTCATCTTCTTCCTCTTGTGTTGTTTCCTCAGGTGCGCTTGCTGGTTCCTGTTGGATAGAGGGTAGAGAGGAGGAAGAGGAAAACTTATGCCAACCTGCAAGGGACATGTCTTCATAGAAGACAACATCCCTTGAAACCACTTCTCGCTTGGTGACAGGATCCCAAAGGACCCATCCCTTGCTCTCATTGCTCATGCCGATGAAGAGGCCCCAATGAGCTTTGCTGTCCAGCTTGAGTCTCTTTGCATCTGGAACACGTAATTGGGCCATGGAACCAAAAACACGAAGCATAGACAGATCTGGTTTAACTCCAAACCAAGCCTCATATGGCGTTACACCATCCGGTAAGGGCCTTGTGGGTCTACTGTTGCGAACATAAATTGCCATAGTGATTGCCTCACCCCACCAGAGCTTGTCAAGGCCTTTGAACTGAAGGAAAGTGGTAGCTATAGCCTGGATAGTGCGATGAAACCTCTCTGCCACTCCATTTTGCTGAGGACTATAGGGACAAGTGAACTGTTGTTTGATGCCCAATGCCAACAACTCCCCTTGAAACGCTTTCCCCATGTACTCACCTCCTCGATCCGACCTCAAGGTGAGTAACTTCTTCCCTGACTCTCTCTCAACAAGTGCTAGCCATTGCTTGAAACACTTGTGAACTTCATCCTTGGTGTTGATGAAAAAGGACCACGAGAAACGACTTATGTCATCAATGAAAGACACCAAATATCTCTTACCGTTTCGAGTAGGGTCTCGCATGGGGCCGAAGACATCAGTGTGGACCAACTCTAGGAGGTCCCTTGACTGAGACTTAGAAGGGAAGAATGGCTTTCTAGCTAGCTTACCTTCCACACAAGATGGACATGGAACGGAAGAAAGGGACTTGACTGCACTTTCACTCAAACTCAATCCTTCCACGCTCTTGTGATTTACCAACTCTTTCAATGCTTGCACTCCCACGTGCCCCAAGCGTGCATGCCATACCTCAGCTTGGGAGATACTCCCTCTGTTGTTGACTTGATCGGTTGAAACAGCGGGAAGCGAGACAACGTCGTTCTTCGTGTTGCTAGCACCGCGCTTAATCTCCAACTTCATCTTGTAGAGCCGCCCGGTACGCTCGCCTTCAGCCACCAGATTTCCTGCACTGTCCCACACTTTAGCTTTCCCCCCTTGCAAGAGAACGGAGGCACCTTTCTCTTCGAGTTGTCCGGCTGAGAGCAAGTTTGCTCCCAAATCAGGAACAAACAAAGCTTTATTGACACAAAATGAATTACCATCCTTTTCGAACTCAAGCTTGCCGACTCCTTTGATTGGTACTTTGCCAAGATCAGCAAGAGTCACAGCTTTTGAGTCATATGAGGGCTGAAATGACTGATAGGGAGTCATGGTTTCAGAGCAGCCACTATCAAGAATAAACTCCTCACTACTAGTAGAGAAAACGTGCATGCAAGTAGCAGCGTTAAAAAGGACAGGACCATCGGACTTTTTGGACTCATCTTGACTTGTAGAATGACTTGCTATATTTGCTATGGCTGCCTTACCTTTTTCAGATAGTAGCTGAGGTGGGGGGACCCAATTAGGAGGCTTCTTAGGACAAGCATACCACGGGTGACCCCACTCATGACAACAAAAACACTCAAAATTAAACTTTTTAGCATTCGGGGCTTGGCTGAAATTATTGACTCTTGGCGTATTGACTCTTGCATTCCTAGGCTGGAATTGATTGGGAATCGAAGGCCTTGGCTGGACATAGGGACTGGACTTATAGAGAGGACTTGACTGAGGAAAACGAGAGGGTTTGTATGGGTTGGAAGGTGACTGAAATTTCGTACCGTAGTAGGGTTGAGGGCGGTTTGGGCTGAAATTTCCTTGCCTCTGGAATTGGTTGCCATATCTTGTGGCTGCTGCAGCACTCCACGCACCTTCGTCACTCCGCTTGTTCCGTGCAAGGTCTCGAATCTGCTGCTCGTTGACAAGGGCCTCAAAGATGAACGCACGACTCTTCATTGATTGCGGGAGCGCTTGTAGTGTTGCACGGAAAGTGTCCCACTCCGGTGTAAGGCCGGTGAGGATGACGGTCTTGAAAAGAGACTCTGGAATCTCCAAGCCGATCGCTGCTGCTTCCTCCAACATTGCTTCAGCTCGTTGTAGGTAGGCTTGTGCTGATTCATCTTCTTCCATCTTCAGATTCATGAAGCGGCTCCACATCTCGGCTTGGCTGCTCTCGGATTTTGACTGGTGCATAGTCTTCAGTCGGCTCCATGCTTCCTCTGCACTGTTTGCCTTGGTAGAACAAGGCAGGAGTGACTTCAACTGCTGCTCGTGAATGCTATTGAGTAGGTAGAGGAAGGCCTCCTTGTTGCGTCGTTCGTAAAGTCGTTTTTCAGCTTCTGAAGCATCTGCTGCTAATTTGGCTGCTTCTCCGGTAGTGTAGTAAGGCCACAGATCCAGAAGGGATGCAGTGAGCTCAAACTGAGTTGCCCATGTTGGAAAATCTTTGCCGTTGAACTTGGGGAGGTGAAGCTTAGGCATGAAGGAGGTGAGTGGTGAGTATGTTGTTAAAGGACTGCCTGGTGCAACTGCTTCCACTAATCCAGTAGCTGCTGATGTTGACTCTGAAGCTCCTCCGGCTGGCTGGAGTGCAGGACCAGATGGATTGTCTCCCGCCATGTTCGTATGGTGCTAGGATAGGAACGTGGTGGGCTAGGTTGATCGAAACGATGAGCTCTGATACCAACTTGTAAAACAGAGTAGCTGTGACTACTGGAGGGCTGGAAACTTGGCTGGAAAGTCTTAGTAGGGCTGCTGGAATTGACTGGATGAGGTAAAACTTCACTATGTTCAAGATTAACAAGCCCACTAAAGCACAACTCTATAGGCATCACAAACAAGACAGATTGAAAGCTCAAACTAGGCTGATAGACAATGTAACTTCCCTGGTAACTTGGGCACAATCTAGATTGGATGGACCTTGAGTGACTTTGAGTGCTACATGAGGTGCATGAATAAGAAAACTCTGGATATTTCTGTTATAGCTGATTCTGATGTGTAGAAACCTGTAGAAACGGCCAACACTTCGGTTTGAAGGCAGCTTTGAACTGTATCGAGTCTTGGGCTGAAATTTGAACGGTGGTGGAACTTTCGAAGTACTTCCCGAAGCCTCTGATTCATCGCCGACATTCCCCCTTGCTGCTGCTTGTGTGCAAAGGGCTGGGGCGGCAGAAACTCGATTCTCCAACAACCTTGCGCCAAAATCGCACAGAAGTGTGTGTGAGGTTGTATTCCAAAGTTGGGACACCATCCAAAGTTCCTCCACGCGACTCGAAATGTCAAAGTGACATTTCAATGCTTCCCCACGCGGTCCGAAGTCTGGACACCAAGAAACATGCCGATCAGCTGATGTGCGAATGATTCGCAGGTCAAAATGCGACATGGACGTTCGGGGAGCTTAGAGATCAAATCCAATGACTTCAACTTACAATCGTGACCGTCACGAACCTTGCAAAATCAGGCCACAACAACCAATGAGCCCATGCTGAATGTTTCTCCCAGGTCGCTCGAGTATATTTGGCCGTTTATTGATTTCGCGCTCTTATTAGGCACAAAACCAGTCTGATCCAATAACCGTCAGGCGATTCTGACGAACCTGGTCGCACGCCTAATCTAGTCACATGTCCAAACTGGGGCCCCACCCCACACGGACACCATCCACCCCCAAAAAAGTGCTTGCGGTGGGGGAACTTTGATGGTGTCCCAACTTCAAAATACAATCTGGGGAAAATATGTCAATGGTAACTTACATGGGGCACTGTAACGCGTACGGTAACGATTTCATCGCGTTTGGTAACCCGCTTAATGTATTTGGTAACTCGCTTAACGCGTTTGGTAACTAGCTTAACATGTTTGGTAACAATACACTAGCAGCCCATCGCGGCCAGCGCTATGCGCCAAGCTATGCGCATTCCGCCTCTCTCGCGGCCAGCAATGCGCTCAGCGGATTTCTCACCGCTGGGCGCATTGCGCCTCTCTCGCGGCCAGCAATGCGCTCAGCGGATTGCTCACCGCTGGGCGCATTGCGCCTCTCTCGCGGCCAGCAATGCGCTCAGCGGATTGCTCACCGCTGGGCGCATTGCGCCTCTCTCGCGGCCAGCAATGCGCTCAGCGGATTGCTCACCGCTGGGCGCATTGCGCCTCTCTCGTGGCCAGCAATGCGCTCAGCGGATTGCTCACCGCTGGGCGCATTGTGCCTCTCTCGCGGCCAGCAATGCGCTCAGCGGATCGCTCACCGCTGGGCGCATTGCGCCTCTCTCGCGGCCAGCAATGCGCTCAGCGGATCGCTCACCGCTGGGCGCATTGTGCCTCTCTCGCGGCCAGCAATGCGCTCAGCGGATTGCTCACCGCTGGGCGCATTGCGCCTCTCTCGCGGCCAGCAATGCGCTCAGCGGATTGCTCACCGCTGGGCGCATAGCTCCTCTCGTGGCCAGAGCTATGCGCCCAGCCGAATGCTCATTGCTGGGCGCATAGCTCCTCTCGTGGCCAGAGCTATGCGCCCAACCGAATGCTCATTGCTGGGCGCATAGCTCCTCTCGTGGCCAGAGCTATGCGCCCAGCCGAATGCTCATTGCTGGGCACATAGCTCCTCTCGTGGCCAGAGCTATGCGCCCAGCCGAATGCTCATTGCAGGGCGCATAGCTCCTCTCGTGGCCACAGCTATGCGCCCAGCGGAATGCCTCTCTCGCTCCCCATCACACGCTGTCTTCTCCTCTATCCTCCAGCCTCATCCCTTGACATTCACATTTCCATTCCCTCGTATGCCATTCATTGCTATAACCCCTGCCCTACCTCTCACCCTCCTTCGTGTCCTCTCTCTCCATTCCCCTGTTCCATCTCTTTCCCCTTCCCCTCCACCTCCCTCTGAATCACAGCGCGCAGCGCCTGGCGGTGCTGTTCATGTGCATACTGAGCCACGTGCGGCGGAGCAACCCCAACTTCAACAGGAACCTGGTGGAGTCGCTCTACTGCAACTAGTTTCCAGGCACCCTCCCTCTGTCTGCGGGGACGACTACTTCGCCCCACAGCCATTCCGCTTTGAGCCATACGACCTACTCACCAACATCGTCAAGGTGCGCCCACTCCCTCACTTCACTTTACTTGAACTGCCCTGCCCTTGATGACTTCCAGAAACATGTGACTGCTCCCCCGTGGGGGCTCACCGCTCACCAACCTCATCCACGTTTAGGGACTCACTCACTGCACTTCAACTTTTCTGCCTTGGGCGTCTCTCACTTCCAATCTCACCACCTGTCCCTTTGAGCCCTTGACCTGTCCCCATCCTCGTCCCCCGTTGCCTCTTCCCTCAACTCGCCCTCACTCAAACGTTCCTCCTAATATTATCCCTTCTCCTGCTACTACTCCTCCTATTCCTCCTCCTCCTCCTGCTCCTCCTCTTCGTCTTCCCAAACCCTTCTCTGTTTACTCCCTCGCCCCCGTCACCTCTCATTCTTCCACTTCTTCATCTTCGCTCTCCATCCTACCGTCAACTTCCATCCTCACTCCCTTCCTTGTTGGAATCACTGAACATGAATGAATGAACTAACAGTGAAATGAGTACAAGTACCTAACCCTAGAATTGTGTACCCCCTATAGGCTAACCCACTGTAGCCTAAACTAACACAACATATATAATGTTTGACACACCCCCATAGGCAAAGTGGGGGAGAACTAGGGGTCACAAGACCAGTCAAGGCAAAGCAAGGCAAAACAAGCTCAGGGTGGATCTCAAGGATACCACACAAATTCCGAGCACAAGCAAGTGGTCACAAGACCAGTTCACATGCAGGTTTATAATAGAGCAAAAGGTACAATGATCACAACCTAACAAGAGTAAACATGCAGGTATATATATAGAGATCACAGTACAAACAGACTCAAGAAGTAAGCAAGTGAGGTCCAGTAGGCACAAGGCCTAGAAGAGTGCAAAAGCGCTGATGGTCACAAGGCTGAAGCGCCTTGGTGAACACATCAGCAGTGTTGGCCTCAGAGGCCACGTAACGCAGGCGGAGCTGACCACGCTGCTGCAGCTCTCGAGCAAGGAAGTAACGCAGAGCAATGTGCTTCGTTCTGTGCTCCAGTCTGTGCTCCTCACACAAGGCAATGGCTGCCTTGTTGTCGACGTACAGCACTGGAGGAGAACGAGGCTGCTCTCCAAGGTCGGTCAGCAAGTAGGTGAGCCAGCGTAGCTCCTGGGCCGCCATGGCTGTGGTGTAGATCTCAGCCTCACAACTGGAGCTGAGAACAGAAGCAGAGCGAGTAGAACGCCAAGAAACAGAACCAGAGCCAATACTGAAGGAGTAACCCTGAGACGACCGCTGAGTAACCTGGTCTTCTACCCAAGAAGCGTCTGAGTGCCCAGTGAGAACAACTGGGACTCGCCCTCCAAGCACTAGCCCCATGCCCGACGTACTGCACAAGTAGCGCAACACCCTCTTAGCTGCATCCATGTGCTCCTTCCGGTGACGGCCGGGAGCGACATAGCGTGCAAGAATGCTGAGAGGGTATGCAAGGTCTGGTCGAGTGCAGGTCATCAGGTACATGAGGCAACCCACAAGCTCTGGATACGGGCCACTCGGCTCTACGGACTCATCCGAAGGCAGAGCTGAGAGCGAGTGACCGGTAGGCAGAGGAGTGGGCTGAGGCGAGGAGTACGTGAAGCGGAAGCGCTGAAGGACGTGCTGCACCATGTGTGACTGAGTCAAGGTGATGGTGCGGCATGCTCTGTCCCGGGTGATCCGCAAGCCAAGATAGCTTGTCAGTTCACCCAGGTCTGTGCACGTGTGTCTCTTCTGCAGCTCCGACTTCACGTGGGCGAGTGCCACAGTGTCAGCAGTAGCAAAGACCAAGTCGTCGACGTACACAAGGACGTAGAACGGCGGCAGTGAGGTGTCGGTGCGTAGAAACAGCGACGGGTCAGCAGTAGAAGGCGCGAACCCAAGAGCCGCAAGCGTAGTCCTGAGTGTGTCGTGCCACTCACGAGGCGCCTGGGGGAGACCATAGACTGGCCGTCGGAGGCTCCACTGGGTACCAGGAGGGAACGACCCAGTGAAGCCAGGTGGACGGCGCAGCCAGATCTCCTCGTGCAGGCTGCCCTTCAGGAAAGCAGTGCTGAAGTCAAGCGAGTGGAGCTCATAGTCACGCTGAGCGGCGACGTGCAGCAGAACCCAAAGAGTGGTCATCTTCGGGGTCGGGGAGAAGGTCTGGAAGAAGTCAACTCCCTCTCGCTGACTGAAGCCTCATGCAACGTAACGCGCCTTGAAGACAGGCGGAGAGCCCGGCGGCCGCTTCACCCTGAAAATCCACATGCCACTGACGATGTTCGCCCAAGGTGGGGGAACCTCGTCGACGTAGGTGCCTGTGGACTTCCACGAAGCCATCTCTATGTCCATGGCTGACTGCCACTGAGAGGAGTAGGGACCGGCCATCGCCTCTGCGTAAGAGCGTGGGGTCGGGATGTCTGGTGCATCCGGGTCTCCCTCAGGGGCAACAAGCATGGACATGAGATGGGGCAAAGCGGCAGCAAAGCACTCAAACTCCTCCTGCCTGTCCTCAAGGACGTCAGTGCCAAGAACACACTCACCCCCGACGGACGGAGGACAGACAGACTCAGACTCAGCAACTAGGCTAGCAGCGTAGTCTAGACGACAGCGAGCAGCAAAGTCGACAAGCTCAGCAACTAAGGCAGACGCAGTAGCAGACTCAAAGGAAGGGTCAGTGACAACAGTAGCGAGAAGACGCGTGACAGTAGGACTGGTAGCACGAAGAGAGTCTGACCCAGGGTCAGCAAGAGCAAGAAGAGAGGAAGCAGGAGGAGACGGCAGTGGGACACGCTTTGGAGCAGTGGACGGACGAAGCGCCATCCGGTGAGTGCCTGGGATAGCAGGAAGACGCTGACGCTGGACTCGACTACTAGAGAGAGCAGTGCGGACAGGCGACTCAGGACGAGACTCAGGCGACGCAGGACGAGACGCAGGCTCACGCCGCTCAGTAAGATCTCCAGTCGGACCAGTGTAAGGGGCAGGACCAGGGAGAGAAGAGGCAGACGGTAGCTACGACTGCAGCTGGACAGGCGGAGGACACGCTAAGGAGGGAGGAGGAAAAGGAGGAGGAAGCTGACCAAGAACCTGCTGAAGGAGCGGTACAAAGTACGGCCGAGACCGAGCAGCGACACCAGAGCCAGCAGGGACACCCGCACCAGGGTCCGCAGCACCAGCAGCAGCTCCAGCGCCCACGTCCTCAGCACCAGCGGCAGCTCCAACGCCCGGGTCCTCAGCACCAGTAGCAGCTCCAACGCCCGGGTCCGCAGCACCAGCGGCAGCTCCAACGCCTGGGTCCTCAGCACCAGCAGCAGCTCCAACGCCCGGGTCCTCAGCACCAGCAGCGGCTCCAACGCCCGGGTCCTCAGCACCAGCAGCAGCTCCAACGCCCGGGTCCTCAGCACCAGCAGCAGCTCCAACGCCCGGGTCCTCAGCACCAGCAGCAGCTCCAACGCGCGGGTCCGCAGCACCAGCAGCGGCTCCAACGCCCGGGTCCTCAGCACCAGCAGCAGCTCCAACGCCCGGGTCCTCAGCACCAGCAGCAGCTCCAACAGCAGCGGGGTCCGTAACACGAGGCACGCCACTACGAAGATTGCAGCGCCGCTCGTACCACTCACGGATCCGCTCGCGGGAGGGGAGCTCCCGAACGGGAGAAGAAGCACTAGCACCAGTCCCAGTAGTACGTCCGGCTCGAGCGGTACCTCTCCGGAGGCTGCAGTACTCTAAGTACCACGCACGCAGCTGCTCCGAGGAGAGGGCTCCTCCAGGTGCAGGACTCCCAGGCCTAGTGCCTCCAGACTCAGAACCCCCAGACTCCGGACTCAATAGCTCAACACCACGAGGCTCCACACCCCCAAGCTCAGCACCCTCAAGCTCCACACCCCCAGGCTCCACATCCCCAGGCTCCACACCCCCAGGCTCCACACCCCCAGGCTCCACACCCCCAGGCTCAGCACCCCCAGGCTCAGCACCCCCAGCAGGACGAGAGTCGACAGCTACCTCAACAGGCTCAACCGGGTCTACCTGAGACACACCTGAGGGAGCGGCACCCTGAGGGGGGAGGGGGTCTGCAATAGCAGCACCTGGCGCGAGGAAGAGAGGCGGGGGGGGGAGCGGGGCAGTGCGGTAGGGGAAGAGGCGGTAGTAGGGGACGGACTCGTCAAAAGTGACGTCCTGGGAGGGCAAGACTCGGCGCGAGGTGGCGTGGTAAAACTGCCAACCAGACGCGTCCGGGACAAAGCCGAGGAAGACGCAGGGAACAGCACGGGAGGAGAGCTTGTCCGCAGACGAATCGCGGACAAAAGCTTGAGACCCCCAGACCCGGAAACGCGACGCATCGCCAACCTCCCCTGTCCACAGCAGCGTGGGCGAGGTCTCCGGCAAGGAGACACGGGGCCAGAGGTTGAGCTGATGCGCAGCGTACCGGACCGCAAACGGCCACAGAAAGTGGGGGGCAGCCGCATGGATCAAGGAGGTACGGGCGACCTCCATGACCAGGCCAATGCGGCGCTCCGCAACCCCATTCTGCTGTGGAGAAGCCGGAAGCGTGAACGACTGCTCAATGCCGTGCTCAGCACAGTAGGCTGCCAAGAGGTCGGAGGAGAACTCACCACCTCTGTCAGACTGCAAGCGCAGGACAGGAAAGTCCGAGTGAAAACGCTCGCTGAGCTGGAGACGGGCTCTGCGGATCCAAGGGATCAAGACATCAGGGACCTCACCCTTGGTGCGCAAGGGGAAGACCGAGGTGTAGCGCGAGTAGTCGTCAACAACTATCAGGAAGTACCTCTCCTGACCCTGACCACGGACGCGGGCTGGACCCCACACGTCCATGTGGAGTGTCTGCAAGGGAGCAGTCGTCGGGGTGAGGAGCGGCGCGCTGCCGTCCCTCGACACAGGGGAGACAGGTAGGAGCAGGCGAGGGTGGGAGGGCAGGAAGGACCCTGGGCAGGCCAGAGACAAGGTACCGGGAGTGCATGGCACGAAGCCGCTGCACAGACGGGTGGCCAAGGCGGTGGTGCCAGAGGACAGTCTCGTGTGCCAAAGAGCGACACGAGCAGGGGGCGGACAGCTGACCTGACGCGGACGCGGACGCAGTCGCAGCAACCTGAGGAGACTCAGTAGTCAGTGTGTACAGGTCCGACCCCGTCTGCCGAGTGAAGGTAGCCAAGTGACGGCCCGTACGAGCACACGTGCAGTGTGTCACGCGCTCGTAGGCAGGGGTGAACTGGTGAACACCCCCGTCCTGGAGTGCACATCCTGCCACCAAGTTCGTAGAGAACGAGGGGAGGTGGAGACCTGACAGTGTGCCCGACGGGACCGCAGGGCAGGGAAGGACAGTGGAAGAGGTCGCAATGACCGGACCCCCAGAGGGGTCAGCAAGGGAGACAGCAACTGGCCGAGCAAGCGGCTCAAGGGCAGTGCGGTCACGAAAGAAGCAGCGAGAAGCACCTGAGTCCAGTGTGAAGGTGTGCAGTGCGGCAGTCGACGCAGTACCAAGGGGGGGAGACACACGAGCACCTAGAGCAGCAGCCTCACCAGCACCTGGGGTAGCCGACACGCGAGTACCTGGAGCGGCAGACGCACTGGCCCTAATGCCCGGGTCAGGCGGCACACACAAGTACTCAGCACCCTCTCCACTAGTAGACATCATATACATGGCAGATAGAATAGCATCAAAGTCTAGAGCATAGATATCAATCCCCTTCTTCAGGAGATCAAGCCAGCGGGGCAGCTCAGTGGCCTGAGGGAACTGAACACGCCAAGCGTCGTCGAGACGAGAGAAGCAGCGCTGTGTGGCGTGCGGTCGTCCACACTGCTGACCAGTGCGGTCACCAGTGCGAATGACGTACGTGCAGCTAAGACCACCCCCACCCCCGTGCTGAGAGTACCACTCACGGACCTCCTGGGGCGAGGGAGTGTGCTGCTGGCCCTGGCCACCGCCAGTGCCTCCACGGCCACCACCACCGCTGCCACCTCCTCGACCACCCCAACCCCTGCCGCCGCCTCGTCCACCGCCACCCCAACCGCCGCCTCCACTCCTGCCACCTCCCCCGCCGCTGCCGCCACCACCCCCACCGCTACCACTCGCCCCTCCAGCCGAGCCACCACCCCCACTACCTCCACCGCCCCCACCGCCGCCTCCCCCGCCGTCACCGCCACCACCCTTGCCCCCTTTGCCCTTGCCGCTGCGGCGTCCGCTCGAGGCAGACGCAGCGCCGACCTTCTCAGCACCAAGAAGGTCGACAGCAGCAGCAGAGGCGACAGAGGGAAGGAGGGGGGAAGGAGAACACCCCTCAAAGAACAGGGTACGGGGGTCGCCACGAGAGGCACCTACAGCGACTATGCTAGTCTCAGCTGCAAGTAGCTCCTTCCGAGGAGGGCAATGGTGAGCTCAGTGGGGCAACGAGCTAGGAAGTGGTCCCTGACAGCACGCAGTGTGTCAGGGAGGCGGGTGACTAGGTGGTAGAGAGTGAGCCAGAGTGGAGGGGGGTGCGTGGCAAGGAACTCAGCAGGCATGGCGGCACGGAAGCGGGCCTCACTAGTACGGAGGTGCGTGATGAGGTCAGCGACTGTGTGAAAGGAGGCCAGGTCGGGAAACAGGTAGGGGAGGGAGAGACGGCCTAGTGCGGCAGAGGCAGGTGAGGAGTAGCGAGCAACTACAGCTGTGTACAGTGTTTGTGCAGTCTTGTGCTGACCAAAGTGCTCGTGTTCGTCTATCGGCAGGGAGTTGCGAATGGCGAAGCGAGCGTGGGCATCACGAGTCTGCCACTGTGAGCGAGCAGTGCTGTCTGCAGTAGCAGCAGGGGCAGTGACATGGCCTAGGGCGTGATCGTACAGTGAGATGTCATCCTTGGCTATGAGCTATAGGTAGAGGTGCAGGTCATCGAGCCAGGTGTCAAACTTCACAGGGCGGCCCTCAGCATCGAACACGAGAACCTGTGGGCTAGCCATAGGAACAGTAGAAATAGCAGCAGTAGCAGTAGGAGAAGCAGGTAGGACGAACCAGGTAGGGCAGGGCGGCGCGGCTCGGTTCAGGTCGGGTCACGGCTCGGCTGGGTGGCGCGGCTCGGCTCGGGGCGCGCGGCTCGGGTCGCGCGGCTCGGGTCACGGCGGGGACGGGCCGCCCGCTCTCCCTCGTGTGCTGCGGCGGGAACGGGCCGCCCGGGGCCTCTAGGTGGTGGGCACGGGTCGGCGAGGTCGGCACGGGGCCGGTTGGGGCCCTAGAGGGCCGAGCGCGGGGCCGATCGGGGCCTGAGCGGGGCTAGCGCGGGGCCAAACGGGGCCTTGACGGGGCTAGCAAGGGGCCGACGGGGCCTGAACGGGGCTAGCGCGAGGCCGACGGGGCCTGAAACGGGGCCGACGGGGCCTGAACGGGGCTAGCGCGGGGCCGTCAAGAGGGGCCTCTAGGGGCGTGACACGCCGAGGCGCCCTAGGGTACAGGTAGGTAGGTAGGTAGGTAGTTACGTAGTGGTGGGCCCTTAGAAAATTTCGGTCCTAGGAAGGACCTGCTCTATACCATGTTGGAATCACTGAACAGGAATGAATGAACTAACAGTGAAATGAGTACAAGTACCTAACCCTAGAATTGTGTACCCCCTATAGGCTAACCCACTGTAGCCTAAACTAACACAACATATATAATGTTTGACATTCCTCACTACCAGCATGCATCTCGGCCCATTGTCTCTCCCTCTACGCAACAAAGAGAGGCAGGGCAGGGGAAATTCGAGTAGGGTGCGAACAAGTGTGTCCGTGCAGCAGAGAGAGGGAGAGTGGGGACGAAAATGCAGGTAGGTAGCGAGACAATCGTGACGGTTACGCAGCAGAGAATGGCAGGGCCCCAAAATTCTCTGTTACTAAAGGGCAGTCCTAGGTGACGGTCACATGTTTCTGGAAGTCATCAAGGGCAGGGCAGTTCAAGTAAAGTGAAGTGAGGGAGTGGGCGCACCTTGACGATGTTGGTGAGTAGGTCGTATGGCTCAAAGCGGAATGGCTGTGGGGCGAAGAAGCCTGCAAACACCTGCCGTAGTACCGGTGGGGAGGGAGAGGGGGGAGAGAGAGGAAAGAGAGAGAGAGAGAGAGAGAGAGAGAGAGAGAGAGAGAGAGAGAGAGAGAGAGAGAGAGAGAGAGAGAGAGAGAGAGAGAGAGAGAAAGAGTGGCGGGGTTGAGTAATAGCAAGGAAAGGGTGAGGTCACCGCTGAGCGCATAGCGCTGGCCGCGAGAGAGGCGCAATGCGCCCAGCGGCAAGTATTCCGCAGGGCGAATAGCGCTGGAGTGAGAGGGGCAATGCCCCCAGCGGTGAGCGATCCGCTGAGCGCATTGCTGGCCGCGAGAGAGGCGCAATGCGCCCAGCGGTAAGCAATCCGCTGAGCGCATTGCTGGCCGCGAGAGAGGCGCAATGCGCCCAGCGGTAAGCAATCCGCTGAGCGCATTGCTGGCCGCGAGAGAGGCGCAATGCGCCCAGCGGTGAGCAATCCGCTGAGCGCATTGCTGGCCGCGAGAGAGGCGCAATGCGCCCAACGGTGAGCGATCCGCTGAGCGCATTGCAGGCCGCGAGAGAGGCGCAATGCGCCCAGCGGTGAGCGATCCGCTGAGCGCATTGCTGGCCGCGAGAGAGGCGCAATGCGCCCAGCGCTGAGCGATCCGCTGAGCGCATTGCTGGCCGCGAGAGAGGCGCAATGCGCCCAGCGGTGAGCGATCAGCTGAGCGCATTGCTGGCCGCGAGAGAGGCGCAATGCGCCCAGCGGTGAGCAATCCGCTGAGCGCATTGCTGGCCGCGAGAGAGGCGCAATGCGCCCAGCGGTGAGCAATCCGCTGAGCGCATTGCTGGCCGCGAGAGAGGCGCAATGCGCCCAGCGGTGAGCAATCCGCTGAGCGCATTGCTGGCCGCGAGAGAGGCGCAATGCGCCCAGCGGTGAGAAATCCGCTGAGCGCATTGCTGGCCGCGAGAGAGGCGGAATGCGCATAGCTTGGCGCATAGCGCTGGCCGCGAGATGCGCGCTACGCGCCCAGCGGCGAGCATTCCGCTGGGCGCATAGCGCTGGCCGTGAGATGCGCGCTATGCGCCCAGCGGCGAGCATTCCGCTGGCGCATAGCGCTGGCCGCGAGATGCGCGCTATGCGCCCAGCGGCGAGCATTCCGCTGGGCGCATAGCGCTGGCCGCGAGACAGGCGCTATGCGCCCAGCGGCAATCATTCAGAATTTTGAAGAATGGATAGATTCGAGTAGGTTCAGCATATAGGGAAGAGAAAGGGAGAGAGACGCACCTCTGATACGGATCAGCTGTAATTCGAGCTTCCGTGAATTTGATGGGGGGTAATAAGTCTGCTAAGAAGTCCTTACTAAGTTAGTGTCGAGAGTGATAGGGCTAGAGCAGGATGACGGGGAGCTATCTGGTGGGGCCACGGGGAACTTGTAGCTTTGCAGGTTGGGTTGTTCTTAGTGTGCACGCGGTGTACAACACGCTTGGTTCTGGTTCGGTTGAGTGGCGAACGTGGTTCAGGAGGACGTGGGTGCATCACAACTCGTGGATTGGTTTGGCGCGAGCGGGAAACCGTCAAATCAGGGTCATGTCAGAGCTGATTTCATCAGAGTTACCATTCGCGTGATGGGCTGCTAGTGTATAGTTACCAAACGTGTTAAGCTAGTTACCAAACGCATTAAGCGAGTTACCAAATACGTTAAGCGGGTTACCAAACGCGATGAAATCGTTATCGTACGCGTTACAGTGCCCCATGTAAGTTACCATTCACATATTTTCCCTACAATCTGAGTTGCATGTGCGTTTCGCTACCAATCAGAATTGAACACTTGTTCCAACTGTTCCCCTTTCACAACGAGACTCGTATGGAGTGAAAAAATAGAAATGCACAGCACTTCCAACTTTCCAAAGCGTTCCAAAAAAACTTCTGTGGACCCAACTAGAAGGGGGGGGGGGGGGGGGGGGGGGGGGGGGGGGGTCATTATTTTATCTGCTGGCTTTAAGACCCCCCCTCATTTTTGGGGTGGGATTCTTGTAATACCCCCGGGTCTTATATCCGGGGTATTACGGTACCATGGCACAATACAAGAAAAACACAAACCAGCCCCTAGTAACCAGTGTACAGCGCAAAGGTATTCATTCACCTACACAACACAGCCCACAAGATTTATGAGCGAAGGCACACTGACATATGTGCCATTTTCACTCACTCAACAGCCCCCACCCACAACACAAACCAGCCCCTCCCATCTCCCCCACCCCTCCCCCCTCCCAACCATAACCCCCCTTCCCACCCCATGACTAAAGTGGCTACCAACCTAAAACCCCTCACACAAATCAACCCCCCCTCCCCATTCCCCCCCACCTCCCAACCTCTCTCCCCCCCACTCCTCCCTTCCTGTATCCTTGCTTCGCATAGCGCCACCGCTCGCTCGCCCTCGATTCCCATCCACCATTGCCACTTCGGCTTCCTTCTCTCTGCATACACGGCTGAGATTCACCAAAAGATGGATTGCACACACACACACATACACACAAATGTCACTCCACTCCACTCCCCTTACACATTTAGGCACGCAGGTACAAGTGACTTCCAGCACAGATGCACAAGCAGACCGGAGCAGAGAGGGAGAGAAGGGGGTCGCTATGGGCGATGGAATCGGCATGGCAAGCTGTCCACCGCACAGCAAGCCATGTTACCGATCAGAGTTGTAGCACCACGATGCTGGTATTGGCTGGCTGCACCCATTTGGATTGTACCGCCCGCTCGCACATAGTCCACATGCCTGGCCCATGGCTTCATCGCCTGCACAAACCCACCACTTCACCAACACCAATCGCACTGCTGCCACTTGCAGTGGCACTAGTGCCAGCACTGCTGCTGCTGCTGCTGCTGCTGTTGGCAATCCTCAACTCCTTCCGCTGTGCTAGTGCTCATCAAGCTCCTTCCGCTCCAAGCCCAGCATTTCATACGTGGGGGGAGATAGGGGAGGTTCCTCCACCACCGCCCCCTAAGCCACCCTCACCACCACCACCCAGCCACACACTCCCAGGAGAGCTGACCGTGCTGCTGCTGCTGGAGGGTAGAACCGAGGTGGGTGACAGCCGCCCAGAAGAGGCCGCACCTCCTCCTGCTGCTGCGGCTGCAGTGGCGGCAGCGGCAGCAGCGGCGGTGGCGGCTGCTTGCATGGCGTTCATGCGTTGCTGCAGCAGCAGGATTCGCTGCTTGAGTGACGGACCCAGGTCCGCTGCTGCTAGAGTCGCGCTCAGGGAGGAGGATGCCCGGCCTGCACTTGCTGCTGCTGTTGTCGTGCCTGGAGGGCTTGTCTTGCTGCTGATGCTCCTGCTGGCCTTGCTGGTGGTACTGCTGGCGGCGTTATTGATCGTGGTGGTGGCATTGGGGGTGGTACTGGCGGTGGTGGTATTGGGGGTGGTACTGGCAGTGGTGGTATTGATTCTCGTGCTGCCTGCAGTGCTGCTGCTGCTGCTGATGGCAGGGATGCTGCTTGCTGTTGCACTGGTGGCAGCAGCAGTGCTGCCAGGGTTGACAGCAGCAGCACCCTCTGCAGCTGTGCTAGAAGCGTCCCTGGTGGTTGCAGTACCTCTGCTGCCAACAGCAGCTGTGCGCACTGTGCCTGGCTGGTGCTTCCCTTCCAAACCAGCACTTGCTGATGCCGTTGCTGCTGCTGATGCTACTGCTGATACTGCTGCTGTTGTTGTTCCAGTGGGGTGGGAAGGAGGAGATAAATAAGGTGCTGGCGGCAACAGCGAGTTGGGAGCAGCAGCAGCAGCAGCAACGGAGGCTGCATTAGACTCAGCCGCCCGTCTGCTAGCAGCGGAAACGCGAGAGTCGGTGGTCAGACATAAATACGGTGCTGCAGCTGCAGCTGTGGTTGCTGGTGCTGGTGCAAATGGGTCTTCCACATTCTGAGCTGCCTCAAGACTTGAAGGCATAGAACAAGCAGCAGCAGCAGCAGCAGCAGCAGCCATAGAGGTGGCGGCGGCGGCAGCGGTTGGACTCAGCCTATCCCTCCCTTGCTCCCTGCCTCGTTCGCTAGCCACTTCCATCCCATCTCCCCCACACAAGTCCCAGACACCACCCTCATCACCAGACATCTCCCCCCCATCAGCTCTAAACCCTCGTCTTTGCGAGGCTCTAGACATCATCCCGTCCCTTCCTCTCTCGGCGTTGGTACCAACAGCAGCAATCTGACGCGGAGAAACAGGCACGGATATGGATTCGCCACCGGTGCTCTTGATTGTTTGCCTGCCATTTGCTTGTCTTGAGGTACTGCTTGTGCCACTCATGTTGCCACCCGTCCAGCTGCTTTTGCTATTGCTGTTGCCGCTGCTGGCCTCTCCTGCTCTCCCGGACGTTCCTCGTTCCCCTGTTGCACGCTCTTCTGTGGTGTGCTCGTTAGCAGCACTGTCGCCAGTCGACCATTTGGGCCTGCTGCTTCCCCTGCTTGTGCCGTTCGTGTGTGTGTGGCTGCTTCCTAGCTTTGCTGGTTCAGCTTTTTCGTATTCTGCGCCTGCAGTTGCACCTGCAGCTGCCGCTGCTCTTGTTTCTCCTGCTCCTGCTGCTGCCGCTGTGCCTGGAACTGCTGCTGCTTCAGCTGTGGCACTCTTACCAGTGCTACCAGCATCACCTTCAGCAGATGCGTTGACCTCCCCACCCCCTCGTGACCCCTTAGACCATCCCCTCCATCCGCCCACACGCGTCTCACTTTCCTTCCCACCATATCCTTCCTCTGCTCTTGCCGCCCTGCCGTGCCGATCAGCACGAAGAGCAGCAGCGGCGGCGGCGGCAGCAGTGGCCGCACCACCATTAACAGTAGCATCACCAGCACCAGCAGCGCGGGCAGCAGTAGCAGTAGCAGTAGCAGTAGCAGTAGCAGCAACCGGACTTACACTCTCTCTGTTAGGTGCAGGCTGCTCCCGTCCCTTCCACCCCTCCCACACCTCCACCCTCGCATCAAACCTACCACGTTCCCCATAACTCCTCTCGTTCACCCTACCCTCGTCATCCCTCTCACTCCTCTTACTCTCTCCCCTTCCCTCCACTCCCTCACCCTCCTCCCCTCCTTCATCCCCACCCACCACTGCCTTGAGTCGCCACCCATGCTCCGTCCTCTCTTCCTCTAACTCCTCATCAACCGCACTCTCCTCCTCCTCATCCTCACTCCCTCCCACCCCCTCCTCCCCTCTCCGCCTCACCCGCACTCGCCCCATAGAGTCACACTCCTCGCCATCACACGAGCTCTCGGACCTCTTTTGAAGCACAGGCTCGAACAGAGAGCTCAAAGCGCCCTGGCACTCCTCCAAACTGCTCCTCGCTCCTACTTCTCCTCCTCCTCTTACTCCTACTACTACTGCTCCTGCTGACACCTGTCTCACAAGCCGCCTGCTGCTGCTGCTGTTGCTGTTGCCACCACCACCACCAACGTGCTTCCCTCCCTCTACCCTGTCCCCACCACTCCCTCCGCCTAGTCCTCGCCCAACCCCAGCACAACCATCCGCACCACCCTCCGCTCCCCCCCACCGTCCGCCACCACCCACTCCCCCTCCCTCCTCACCACCGCCACCGCCATGCTTCCTCCCTTGCAACCCCTCTCTGAAGCTCCCTCGCAAGCTCCCATGCAGGCTGCCATGCACGCTCCCCACGAGGCTCTCTCTCAGGCTGCCCGGGAGGCTGCCCTGGCTGTGCATGCGGCAGAACGCGTCAAGCCCGAGGTTGTCGCTCCCCTGGTGCACTCTCACGCGCATCTCCTCCGCGGCTGCCTCTGCTGCTGCTGCCTCTTGGGGACTCTTTAGCCTCCGCATCATGCGCGCGCGTTCCCTCTCCCTCTCCCGTTCTTTCTCGAGCATCCGCTCTGCAACGCGCCGCCCTCGATCCTGCTCCCGCTCTCTTTCCCTCTCCCGCCCGCGCTCCCGCTCTCTTTCCATCTCGCGCCCCCTCTCCCGCGCACTCTCCCGCGCACTCTCTCGTTCCGCCTCCTCCTGCCGCTTCCGCTCCTCGCGCTCTCTCTCCCACGCCTGCCTCCTCTCCCCCTCCCTCTCCTTCCGCCCCCCCGCGTCTCCCCACCCCCCCAGCTCTCTGCGCGCGGAAGAAACGCCGGACGCGGGGGAAGGGGCCCCGGATAGGGAGAGAGGAGGAGGGGGCGATCCGGCAGCGGTGGAGGGATGATTGGCGGAGAGGGGAAGCGGAGACGGGGAGTGCGGATGCGGAGAGAAGGACAACCCGTGGAAGGGTGACACCGATGCTGACACTGATGCCGATGCTGATCCTGATGCCCCAGCTGCAGCGGAGGAAGAAGCAGCACGGTAAAGGCGCCTGGGGATCCCCCCAAACGCCTGCAATGGCGGCGACGACGACGCCAGCAACGGTGGCGGCGGCGGCGCTTGAACAGCGAGAGCAGGCGGAGCAGGCACGGAGGAGGAGGATGATGGCGCGTTTCTTGCCGGCGGCGCTGCTGCCTCTGCTGTACTGGCACCAGCAGCAACACCATTAGCGGCAGTAGCAGCAGCGGTGGTAGAGTCGGCGGTGGTAGCGGCGGCAGCGGTGGTAGCACCCCTGGGGTGTGAGTGCAGGCGTTCCAGGCGCTCTATCTTGTGCTGCAGTGCTGTCAGCATGCTCTCCGATGCCTGCACGGGGACGAGCGACACACGCAGGGGAGAGTGCGCGAGTGTGTGAGTGGGTGGGTGAGTGAGTGAGTGAGTGAGTGAGTGAGTGAGTGAGTGAGTGAGTGAGCGAGCGAGTAGGCGAGGGCGAGAGGGAGCAAGAGAAAGAGCATGATGCGGACGAGGCGACTCAAATAGAGGCGACTCACCTTGCCCTCCATGCCGCGCAGTCTGCTCCGCAGCTCCTCCGCCTCTCTCTTCACCGCCACCAGCTCCTCCCTCTGCGCCTCCGCCTCCACTTCCGCCTGCGCCTGCGCCGTCGCGTTCCCCTTAGCCCCATACGCCACCCCACTGCCGCCAATCTCTCCGCCTCCGCCAGCGACTCCCCCAGTGCTCTCGCTAAGCCACCTGCGCCTTTCTCTGTTCGCATTCCCCGCGCGCTGCTGGCTCCGCCGCTCCTCCGCCGCCTCCTCCGCCCTGCGTGCGTCCGATCTTTCCGCTTCCGCTTCCGCCTGCGCCCGCGCCCGCGCCCGGCGCGCAACCTCCGCCTCCGCTTCCGCCTCCCGCTTAGCCGCGAGCAGCCCCACTTCCGCCTCGCGCTTCCCCGCAACAAGCTCCTCTATCTGCAGCAGCAGCGCCGCCTTCTCCCCTTCCGCCTGCAGCGCGCGGCGCTCCATGTCCGCCAGCGCCGCGGGGGGGGACGGCGGGCGGAGCGAGGAGGTGGAGTGGGGGAAACCGCCGCGCGCGGAGTCGGAGGTGGCGGAAGAGGAGGAGGAGAAGGAGGAGAAGGAGGCGATGGAGGGCGCGGGGGAGGAGTTGGTGGAGAGGTTATGCGACTTGGCGCGCAGCTCCTCTTCCAGCTGGGAAACTGGGGGTAGGGAGGCAGAGGGGGAAGGGAACGGGGGGTTGGGGGAGAAAAAGGGGGGCACGCACGGGGTGGGGGGAGGCAGGCGCGAGGAAGGTAAGATTATGAGGCGAGGACGGAAAGAGCGAGGCTGGCGAAGTAGAGGGGAGGGAGAAAGGTGGGGACGTTTAGAACAGAACAACAGGGGACGAATAAGTGGAGGGGTGAAGCTCGGGCAAGGGCAAGCAAAATGGTTCGCATGGGAGTAAGAGAAGGGGAGGGAGGGGAGGAGGTGGGGACGGGGAGAGAGGGGGAGGGAAGATGCGATTGAAGAGAGGAAAGACATGAGAAGTAATAGTGGAGAGCGGAAGGGGAATAGGGGTGGAAAACGAAAAGGTCAGGATGGAGCAGGGGGGAGGAAGGAGATGGGAAGAAAGGCAAGAAAGAGCTCAGCAGGAAGAGGTCGGGAGGAGGAAGAGAGATGGAGAGGGGGCGGAGGAGGGAATACACAAGTCGACAGCAGCGGACGCAGCTCGTGCCTACCTCTGGCTTTAAGATTGGCAATAGTGGTGATGAAAACACTCTGGTTGCTGACAGCAACAAAGAGCCCACATGTCGCACACCTCCCATCACCACTACCAGCAGCAGCAGAGGTGACACTGCCACTGGTCACACCACCACCACCAGCCTTAGCGGTTGTGCCGTCCCCCCCAGCAGCAGGCTTGGAGGGGCAGGAGCAGAGAGGCAGCTTGAGCGCGGTGTCACCTGCCCCAGATCCGCCCTCCCTGGCTGCAACAGCCGCTGCTGCCATGGCTGCCACTGTCTCTGATGCCTCCAGCAGCCGCACCCTGTCCCTCAGCTGTAGCACCTGGGGAAGGAAGGGGTTGGGAACAAGGGGGAATGGGGGAGGGGGAGGACGGTTTGGATACTGGGGGGAGAGAGGCGTGGGGAAAAGGCGGAGGTGGAAGGAAGGGGAGAAAGATGCGAATGGAGAAGCTGTGCGGGATACAGGTGGAGAGACAGGAGGGAGAGTTGGGGGGAGGAGTTTAAATCAAAGACTCTACAAGGTCACTCAGCACAATAGCAGAAGAAAAAACAGCTGAGAAGAGAGTGTACGTGTATGTGTATGAACATAATACCGGAGTGCTAGGAACAAACTTAGCAACTTGGAGTCGACGTATCCACTCCAAACCCCCAAGAAGAAGCAAGCTTAGCAACTGCCTCTCTGATAGCCTCACCCACACAACCAACACCAACACCAACACCAGCACCCACACACCCGCTCACCCCACCCAAACCCGCCTACGCCCACACCTATACACCCCACACACGTCCACAGCACCCACGCGAGCAGCGCACCTGGCCGCGGAGGCGGTTGGCAGCGCTGGCCTCGTTCTGAGTGTGGCGCCAGGCGCGGTGGGAGAGCGCCGCAATGCCCTGCACGTGCACCTGCATCACCGCTGCTGGATGCACCACACTGCTCAGCAGCACCGCGCCCTCCAACACCCCGCCCAGCTCCTCGCACCACCCCCCCACCTCCACCTCCCCTCCCCCTCCCGCCCCCGCTCCAGCGCCTGTTCCCCCTCCGCTAGCGTCTCCCCCCCCGCCCCCGCCCGCCGGCTGCGCACGCGCCTGTGCGCTGGCAGCGGGGGAGGAGGCGTGGGGCGCGGAGAGAGAGGAGAGGTCCGGGGGCATAGCCCATACCTCGGTTTCCTGGAAGCACCTGGAAGAAGCGCGACGAGAAGGCGGGCGGGGAGTGGGAGAAAGGGGGGGAAGAGAAAGCGAGGGAGAGGGTGCGTGAGAAGAGAGTGAGGAGAGGGGGAGGGGGCAAACGGGATGGGAAGATTCTGGCTGGAGTAGTAATGTTTACATGGGCCTATCGCTCTTCTCACCATCCCGCGAAGTAGTGCGCGGAGGTCGGCGTGGCGGTGGCGGAGAGGCAGCGCCCGTCCGCGGCGACGGAGCGCAGCCCCACGCGCCCGCCGCCGAAGCACATCAGCACGAACACGCCCTCCAGAGGCACGCCGTCGCACGACGACCCTGACGACGCCTGCGACGCTGGCGAAGCTGACGACGACGATCCGTTGGTGGTGGCCCCCGCGCTGTCCGCTCCGCCAGTTCCCCCGCCTCCTGCTCCTCCGCCCGCCCCGGTGCGCGCGCCTGCGCCTGCGCCTCCCGCGGTGGCGGCATCCGCAGACTGCGCGGAATTATCGAGCGGCGGCAATGGCACCGCGCCGAGCTCCCAGCTGCGAGGGAAACGCGCGGAAGAAACGAAAGAGAGAGCATTAGATTAAACGGTTGTCAAGACGTGGGGAAGGCATGGGGAAGAGGGAGGCAGTAAAACAACCGCCTAGTCTCTCGCCTCGCCACTCTTGCTTCAATCTGATCTTTCAATCTCACCGTCCGTTCGACTCAACGGCCGCCAGGAGCTTGTCCTTCCCCCATTGCAGGCACACCAGCGCGCCGTGCCGCAGCACCGCCGTGCCCGCGCGCCGCGTCGCCCACGCGCGCGTGCGCCCCATGCGGTAAAACGCGTTCCCGTACGCCCCGCCCATGCCGCTGCTTCCGCCCAACCCTCCGCCAACCCCTCCGCCCATTCCGCTCCCGCCGATACCCTGCTCCCCTCCGGCCGCCGCGTGTCCCGCCACCCACTTCCGCGCCACTTCCCGCCGATCCACCATTCCGCCTCCGCCGATCACCCCTCCCCACGTGACCGCACCTCCCCCTGCCGCGCCGCTGCCGCGCTTATCCGTAGGTACACCTCCACCAGGTACGACCTTGTCGCTGCCAGCAACGCTACTAAGCCGGTCGTCTGTAGGGTCCCAATTGGGTAACGGATCTTCGACCCCCCCAACCGCCACTGCTGACGTGGCACTGCCCATGGACCCCGCCATAGCCGTCACCGCCGGACCGCCTCCCAAACCCGCGCCGCCTGCGGAGTCCAGAATCCATGTCTTGCTGATGCTTCCGCCTCCCGCCATTGCTGCTGCGTCGACTCTTCCTCCTGCCGCCGCCGCCGCCGCCGCCGCTCCCGCTGCTGCGACAGCGGCCGACGTGCTTCCGACGGGTCCGACGTTTGTTGCGCCGCCGGAACTGCCGCGTGGCCCTGCTGCCTTCGAGCCTGCCGGTTCGGATAGCACGCCGCTTGTTGCGCCTGGAGCTGCGGGTGCTTGTGGCTGTGCTGCCGGCCCCGCCGCCGCCGACGCCGCCGCGGTCGATAGAGACGATCCTGGCGCGGCGTGGTACGGCACGTACTGATCGGGGGGCTTCGCCTCCTTCCTTTGCGGCGTGGTTGCCATGTGTCCCGAAGCAGCACCTGCGCGCTCGTCGCCGCTCGGCGCGCTTGCATTGGCGCTGCTGCCGCCGCCGGCACTCGGCGGGCAAAAGGCTGCGCGGAGAGAGTGGTGTGGAGCGGAGGTGGCGGAAGGCGAAGCGGACGCGCTGCGCGGGGAAGCCGCGGAGACTGACGGCGCCGCGGATTGCCGCGCGGGGACACGGATGGGGGGAAGTGCAATAGCTGGGAGCGGAGCGAGCGGAGGCGACGCGGGCTTGGATGGCGGGGAGGTGACGGCGGAAGGCGGAACGGCATCCGCTCGAGCAGGCGCGCGAGAAGATGCCGATGATGACGTGGCAGGCGTGTTGTTGCTGATGCTCCCCACGCCGCCTGCCACGGCGGCAGCTGCGAGCAGCGCATCAACGGACGACAGCAGCCGGCGCTGCGCAGAGGAAAGCGAGTGCGTTCTGGCTGGCGGAGCGGCGCTGGCGGAAGCGAGGGGCGCGGGAGGAGCGGCGGCGGAGGCGGAAGGGTACTGGTGGTGGTGGTGGTCGCGGGAGCGGAGGGCGGCAGCGGATGATGAAGACGGGGAGGATGGGATTCCGCCCCCGCCAACGTTGGCGCTGCCGCCGTGCCCGTGCGGGCTGTAAAAGTGCAACCCTTGCGCTCCTCCTGCGCCGTGCGCATGCGCCGCTGCATTAGCCGCTGCTGCGGCGCGCTGACCGGCGCTGTGGCTGCTGGAGCGGGCATACGACGGCGGCGCGGCTAGGACGGACGGCTGCGCAGCATACCCTGTCGCGGAAGGTCCTCCCATTCCGCTTCCGCCGGTGCTCGCGGGCGCGGGAGGCGCAACGGCGCTGGCGACGGTGATCATTCCGGGAACTCCCCGCGTGGGGCCAAACGCTCCCCCGACGAAGTTCGCGCCGGTGTTGGAGGCGGAAGATGCGGACGCCCGCGGAGTGCCTGGACGAGCGGGGATGGGGGAGCTTGGGCGCGAGCCGGAGCCTCCGCTCCCGGGAAACACGGGCAGCGCGTAGGGGGAGCTATGGCGCGGAGAACTGGGATGAGAGGAAGCGGGATTGGGGGAGGAAGGCTGGGGGTAGCTGTGCCGGGGGGAACTGGGAATAGGGGAACTTGGGCGGGGGGAGCCCGACCGGGAAGGATCAACATTGGCGGAAGGGGTGAGGGTCATGGGGTGCGAAGCCGGTTGAGCCGGATGCTGAGAGCGGCCGAGTTGCGGGGAGACGATAAGTTGCGCCAGCTGCTGGAGATTGGATCGGCGGGGAGTTGTCGGAACAGAGTGGGAGGAGGAAAAGGAGCGCACGGGGGAAGAGTGGCGCGGGGGGGCTGCTGGGGGCATGAGGGATGCTGGCGGACCCATGGGCGCGGCAGCGGAGGCGGCGGAAGCCGTTGCGCTGGAGGCACTTGCGGCAGCGGCGTGAGCGTAGGCGGAGGAGGAAGAGGGGGAAGTCGCGCGGGCGGAGGAAGAGGATGAGCGCGGGGAGAAGAAAGAGCCCGCGGAGGGCAGTGAGGGGCGGAACATGCTGCGCGCAGACACGCGCGACGGTGCAGGTGACGCAGAGCGGGAGAGAGCCATTTCAACACACGGGCGGCTGCGTGAGGGGGGGAGCGGGGAAGCGGGAGGCGGAAGCAAGGCAGAGACGAGGCGGGCAAAGGAGAATGCGTTGTGAGAGGAAGCAGGGCAGGGAAGGAACTAGGAAGAAACGGGACTTAAGCTCATGCATATTGCATGGGAAGGGGAGGATGTATGGAGAAAGGCGAACAGGGGGGAAAAGGCATGTGGAGACACGTGAAGTACGGCGGAGGTTGCGCGCATTGCGAGAGCGACGTTGGGGGCGCACGCAGCAACTCAACGCACCTCGCAGACTGGCTGTGAAGACGGCATGGGTAAGCGACATTGGCAAATAACGTGGGTGTATGCTCAAACACATGTGGGGATACAAACATATATACCTGTCAGTTCACAGCTTCACCTCAGTAATGGGTCCCTCGACCTTGTCTATCCGCGCCTCGCGTGGACTTTCCTAGACGAAAAGTTCTACGGACGTCTCAACGATAGATCATGTTTGCGGGAGCAACTTCGCATGGACTGACCTCTTTGTTCCTGTGAACAAAGTCGGAAGAGGCACGCCACGTCACACCATGCCAGCAAGCGGGCGACGCTGAAAGCTCAAAACAACTGGAACTGGCCACTCACAAGTTATGTAAGATCCAGCCGAGTAGATTCGGGCATCAATTCGTCGACTATCGCGAGCAGGAGCCGTTTATTAGCAAGTCAGCGGCAGAAGCAGAGTTCACCCAGTTTCCACGAGCTGTGGAGGGAGGAGCTAAAGGAGGAAGTGAGCGAGCCTGAAGCAGAACGAGCAGCAGCAGGAGAGAATTGCGGCGAAAGGTGATGGGTGACCGGACGGATGGGAGATTAATCGCCTAATGAGCTTCGTGATCCAAATACGTCTCCTCGTTGCGGGAGTTAGTGCCTTCTCTCCGTTGATATTTTGTGAAGAGACGCACGGGATGTTCTCCTATGTGAAACGAACGCATGGAGAGAATGGCCCATCGCTCCAACTAAGCGCAACCTCTCGGTTCGCCTTCTTGACACTCTATTAGCAAACAACTCGCAACAACGCCTATCGCGGAAAGCTCTCGCCATCTCTGCTTCTCTCTTCGTCCCCTACATTCGGGCTGCTCATAGCGAACTGGCGAGGGAAGGGATTGGTTGGACGGGGACTAGCAACCAAACAATATAGGTTGACGTTGACAACGGACTAGCGCTAACAGCGCAGCAGCATCGTCTGGTGCCATGGCACGGTTGCACTGTGTGGCCTGGGATGGGGCGCGACCTGCTCAATGCTTGGAAACTACGATCGAAGGTTGAAAATATTAGTGACAGTAGTCAGGACAGGACCAGTGAGGAAGAGTTGAGGGGCAGACAAGCAGTGTAGCCTAGCTAGTATGGAAGCAAGCATGTTGCGCCCGAGGACCACGGGGAATTTTGGGTGGGCCGATGACTGGATGATGGGGTGAAGGAGCTGCTTGAATGACTCTCTGGGGCCTGGGCGGGGCGGATTGAATGGGCTCCATGCAGGGCGCAACTGCAGGTACAGTGGTGGTCAGGGCAGGGTATTGGCTGGACATGGGGCGAGAGGCGGCGGGGGTGGTCGTAGTGTGAGTCGGCCCTGGCAGGTGGTTCCGCCAACAGCCGAGAGGGGCGCAAGGGCAGACGAAATACAGTAATGCCTTTCGTTGTCCTTTCAAGGGGTTGTATATGGTACGGCCAACGAGTGGGGTCGGGAATCGGGATTGCAGTGTGTGGCACAAGTGTTCTTGTACCACTCGCCAAAGTCAGACCAATAAGGTGCACAATAAGGGTCTCCCACGAATGAGGGCTGGTTGCGACTCGTAGTTTGTTCCAATATCGAGCGCTGCAAACCAGGCTATCGGTACAAGGAAGCGCGCTTCCGCTGCAATGCATTTGCGACTCGGTGGCCCGTGGCGCATCCCCGCGCACCAAGAAACTGTTGGCACGCCACGTAATCTGAGAGAGTGCGGCCCGGTGTTGGGGCCAAGCAAACCGGCCACGAACAATTGCTTCCGTGATGTCGAATTGCTTATGTGGAACTTCCACGTGCTATATGCTAACCTCCACACGAATCCTTCGAGGACACGGGAGTGGTGGTTGGGTAACTGGACTGATATGTGGGCATTCAGATTAAGGAGAAAGAAACGGAAAAAAAAAAAAAAAAAAACCCCAACAACAACAACAACAACAACAACAACAGAAGTATCGAGTTTGCTAAGCTCCTCGGATACAAACAGTGGTTGCTGGTGTGAAGCAGATATTGGGTGTGGACGAGTCTGGGAATCTCGCGCTATATCTATACTTTCAACTACATTCTCGGGCAACTTGCCCATGTGAAATGAAACTGCCTTCGAGGTAGTCAGGCCCACCAGACTAGAAAAATACTCGTTGCAACGAAGAAATTGAGCCTGGCTGGTGCCAAGTACAGTCGGGTAAGAGCACGAACAATGCATTAACAAATACAAAGGTAAACAAAGGTATAGCAAAGGAAGCCTCCACACAATTCATGGATAAAATAGTGAAATGCCACAAGAGGTGTTCATGTGTGAAATGCCACACTATTCATGGATAACAATAGGTGCTCGTATGTAAAATGCCACATAAATGACTGCATTATAGTCCAAAATTATCTAATCAACCGGGTCGCACTCACGAATAGGCAATGGGAAAAAGTGAGTCAGCATAACAGAAGAATATTCATGAATATTCGTGTTGCGAGGACGTGACAGAAGTTCCCAATAACGAGGATAAAGACGAAGGGTCGAGATGAACTGAAGACCCACGCTCCAAGGCCCATGCTGCGACTTGGCAAATGACCCTTGAATCGATCTCATCTTTGGGAATGAAGCGTACCCCCAAAGGTTACGGTTGCTTGTGACGTTGTCCGAACAGCCATGCGTTCTCGATACGTTCATTGAGTCACACTTCAGCTTGCTGATAGGGGCTGCAGAGCGGACCAACGAGGAGAGAGACTTTCCCTTCACGCACACGCACAAGCCTTCGTCACGTCCTCTCCACGCCACCTCCTCCCTGCCCGCCAGTTATAGTACTACGTCATGCCGTCCCGTTGCAACGGCTGCAATGCAAACTCATAGAAGGTCCGTGCTTCTTCCTTTTCAGTCATAGAAGCCACAGCCAACTTTGTTCTCAGTCCTACCAATATCAGCAATGGCGGCCGAGCCCACCACGTTCCTCCCAGGCCCACTTCCTGTAGACACGAGCCACATTCTACAATGTCCTACTTCCGCCTCGCCTTTTCTTCAGGAACTGCGCGCGCGCTGGCCTGTCAACGAAAATGACCTTTCTAATAAACTCCCACAGATTCAAGCTATCCAATCCGCTGAACACGCGGACAATGCGACGCGGCTGAAGATCACCAGAGACGCCACACGCGACGACATGAAAACGGATTCCGTCGCAAGCGAGCCGGAGCGGGGCCTCACGGAAAACCACGCCCATACGTACGTGTCATCGGGGAGCGCGTGCGTGGATTTCCTCTTCCACGTGCTTCCGCAGACCGAGCGCAACGGTGCGCACCGGCGGCTCGAGGCCGCGTGGGCGGAGGACCCAGCCACGGCGCTGCGGCTGGTGATGCAGCTGCGCGCGGTGCGCGGCACGGGAAAGAGCGACCGCTCCAGCTTCTTCCACTGCGTCACGTGGCTTTATCAACACCACCCGCGGACGCTTCTGGAGAATCTCTGGCTGGTTCCCGAGTTCGGATGCTTTAAGGACCTTTTAGAGATCGTGCGGCTCGCTCTGGCGGAAGAAGGAGTATACTCGAATGAGGAGGAGGGGAAGAAGATGCGGAAAAAGGGCCGCGGCGGGTTAAGGTTCTATGGCGGCTGGGAATTTGAGAGGAGTCGGGCGGAATCTGTTGCGGAGGAATGGCTAAACTCGGATGAGAATGATGCCATGGCTTGGAACGAGATGGTGAAAAGGAACAGCTGGGAAGGGAGCAAGAGCGACATGATGTTCGGAAAGGAAAAGCAGAAGCTTTGGGAGGAATGGGTGGCGGAGGAGAGGCGGCAAATGAAGGAGGAGAAGGAGGAGAAGGAGCTCCTGGCAGCAGTTCCGCGCAAGGAAAGGCGCGCGCGGAGGGCGGCGGAGGTGGCGTACGCGTACGAGTCGAGCGAGCGGCTGCGCGCCGTGCACAACGCGGTGGCGGCGATCTTCGCGGCTGCGCTGAAGGGGGACCAGGAGGCGATGCGCGCGTTCGAAGAGAGGCGCGCGCGGAAGAACGCGGAGGGGGAAGGGTCGTCGGCGGAGGAGGCGATGGAGGAGGACGCGAATGAACAGGCAGGGAAGAAGGATGTTGTAAAAGCAGAGGCAGAAGGGGAGGGGAGAAAGGAAGAGATGGAGGAGAAGGGAGGGGACGGCGAGAACGGGGGCAAGGGCAAGAAGAAGCGCAAGTGGATGGGGAGGCCGGCGCCCCGGCTCTCTCTGGCAGCCAAGTGGGCTCCCTCCCCTGGCAAGTCGTTCGACCAATCCACACTGCTCACCTCCTCCATCGCCCTCCTCCTCTTCCCCCCCTCCTCCTCCTCTTCCCCCTCCCCCTCCTCTGCTGCTGCTGCTGCGGCGGCTGCTGCTAAATCTGAAGCTGCTGATTCCGGGATGGACGTGGACGGTGGAGCAGCGGCAGGCGGGGGGGGAGGGTACGTGCGAGTGGCAAAGGAGAGGTTGCAGAGGGAGGTGCTGGCACCGCTGCGGAGAGTGCTGGAGGTGCCCGAGGTGCACATGAGCAGCGGGCGGTGGGAGCACGTGGCGTACGGGCGCGTGCCGTCCGTGTGCATGAACAAGACCCGCAAGCTCTTCCTCTCCCACGACCAGCCGCGCTTCACTGAGTACCTAGAGGACGTGAAGGGCGGCAGGGCCAAGATCGCTGCTGTAGCGCTGCTGCCGCATGAAGTGGTGGAAGCGGCCAAGGCAGCAGCAGAGGACGGCGACGAAAACGATACAGTGGGCGAGCTGCAGTGGAAGGCCATGGTGGGTGACATCAGAAGCAAGGGGTCCCTGGGGAACAGCATGGCGGTGTGCGATGTGTCGGGGAGCATGACCGGCACGCCCATGGAGGTGGCCATTGCTCTGTCGCTGCTCGTGAGCGAGGTGAGCAGCGACCCGTGGAAGAACCACCTCATTACATTCTCCGCGCAGCCGAGGATCCACCACGTGCAGGGAGAGACCCTGGTGGAGCGCGTGAGAAGCACACAGGGCATGCCCTGGGGCTACAACACCAACTTCCAGGCGGTGTTTGACCTGCTGCTGTCCCGCGCGCAGCAGTTCCAGCTTGACCCGGCCGACATGGTGCAGCGCCTCTACGTGTTCTCTGACATGCAGTTTGATGAGGCGGGCAGGGCCAGTGGGGCCGACTGGGAGACGGACCACCAGGCGATCGTGCGCAAGTACGCTGCAGCTGGTTACCCTGTGCCGCAGATAGTGTATTGGAACCTGAGGGGGGACGCTCGTGCGAGCAGCACACCAGTGCTTGCAAGTGAGGATGGGGTGGCAATGGTGTCGGGGTTCAGCAAGGGGATGCTGCTGGCGGTGATGGAAGGGAAAGAGATTTCCCCCATGGGAGTGATCAATGAAGCTATCACTGGGAAGCTTTTTGAGCTTATTCGAGTTGTGGATTGATTAGTATTTAATCGCGGGTTTGTTCCATAGTAGGAAATGTACAGTCAGGCAGAAACTGGGTGTGACTTTAATGAGCATAAAGTGTGATTGCAGTTTGTGTTTCTCGTTCCTTTGTCCCCATCATGCCGTCCCGGATTCTCCGTCCCATCACACCATCCATCTCCTCCCTTGGCATGATGAAGAACCACCCCATCCAACAACCATCCGCTGCAACAACTCCACACATTATCCTCGGGTACTCCAAAACACAACTGCTAATGACCCTTGGCAAATGATCCAAGCGGAACCCCCTCCCTATGAGACAACCACCCCACCCCCCCCCCCCCACCCCAGTCGCAGCACAAAGCCCTAGAAGCCCATGTGAGCGCGGAGCTGCTCGTAGAACATGTCAGTCCACGAGTCGGGCACACCGGGCAGGCACCAGTGCACACAGTCATCGTTCCCGGACGCCCCCACGAGCGCGTCAGGGCGGTAGATGGTGGAGCGCGTGACCTGGATGATCTTCACCGGCGCCTTGCGGAACGCTCGCAGCTGCGCTGGTAGGAACACCATCGCCTGGCGGTTCTTTGCCACCATGGTGTCCGCCTGCAGATGCAAGCAGTGACGGTGAGAGGGTGGGAGAGAGGGAGGGTGGGGGGGATGCTTTTGAGACGTGTCAAAAGCTTTGCGGAATGCGTGCAGCTGCGCTGGCAGAAACACCATTGCCTGGCGGTTCTTTGCCACCATGGTGTCCGCCTGCTGTGGCACGCAGTGGAGGAGAGAGACAGAGAGGGTGAGGGTGTGGGAGGGTGTAAGGGAAAGAGGATGAGAGGGTGGGAGGGTGAGAGGGTGGGAGGGAGTGAGGGTGGTAGGGTGAGAGGGTGGGAGGGTGAGAGGGTGGGAGGGTGAGAGGGTGGGAGGGTGAGAGGGTGGGAGGGTGAGAGGGTGGGAGGGTGAGAGGGTGGGAGGGTGAGAGGGTGGGAGGGTAAGAGGGTGTGGTAGGGTAGGAGGAAGAGAGGGTGAGAGGGTGGGAGGGTGGGAGTGTGAGACGGTGGAAGAGTCGGAGAGTGGGAGGGTGGGAGGGTGGGAAAAAGAGATGTGAGGATGGCGGGTGGAAAGAACCAACCGCAGCAGACAACTTGGATCAGAAGATACAAGACGACGGCATAAGCACGCATTGGCACCACACGCGACTCACTTGGCTCTGTCCCAGCGCGCCTCGGTACTTGCCGCACCCGTCAATGGCGGCAGGCGCGGAGAGGAAGTAGGAGAGCGGCTTGCTTGCGCCCTTGGCCTTGCGCGCTGTCAGGAAGTCAGCCACCGTCTTCATACCGGTGCTGCGCGGGATGAGAGGGGTGCGGTGATGAGGAGTGATGGGGGGTGATGAGGGGCGGTGAGGGGTAGGGGGACACGAACATAGTTCCAAGGATGCCGAAGCACGAGTTAAGGCACTGATGAAGATGTAACGGTTTGACCAGCAGCAAGCAGTCCATTCCCTTCCCTTTCCCTTCCCGTTCCTCTTTCCTTCCCCTCCCCTTCCCTCCCCTCCCCTACCCTTCCCATTCCGCCGGTTTCCCTCCCTTCTCCCCTTTACTCTACGCACAAGAACGCCTTGGTGTATTTCTTCTCGGGCCACTGCCGCACGCCCGCGCCGTCCACAAAGTAGCGGCGCCACTTGGTGGGCTTGGCGCGCCAGTGAGCAGCGGACTGCAGCACCAGCACGTCGTACTGCCCCACGTGGTCCGCCCACGTGCTGTCCAGCCGCGTCACGTCCACCACTGCGTCCTCCGCTGTCGGCTTCACCCCCCCGTTGTACTTGCGCAGGGCCTGGGGGAGGGGAGGGAGGCGGAGGAGGACGGGAAAAAAAGGAGTGATGAGGGAGGAGGAGGGGAAGGGGAGGAGGGTGGGTGGAGAGAGGGAGGAGCAGAAGGAAGGGAGGGGTGACGAGGGTTCTACTGCCCCATGTTCTCCGCCCACGTACCCATGTCCTGCCCCTCATTCCCTCTGCCATTCCTCACCTCATTGCCCCTGCTCATCGGCAGTGACTGTGGAACGAGAGTTTTCTCTAGCTCTCAAATGCACCACAAGCTCAAGAGCGCCAGCTCTCGAGTGGCTAAAAGAAACAATCCCCCCTCCCCACCCCCGCCCGCCCCCCTTTTCCCCCCAACAAAGAAGAAAGAAAGAGAGAAGGAAAATAAACAGCGTCGATTCGCCTCGCTATCACGTGGCGTCACCTCCCCGCGCCTCGCGTGGGCTTACCTGGTCATCATGCAGGTAGTAATTGAGGAAGGTGCTCCAGACGTTGACGAGCGTGACGTTGTACGCGCGCACGCGCATGATGTGCGTCGGTACCAGCAGCCCCCTCCCCGCCAGCTTCCCCAGCAGCTCGTCCGCTGTCTCCACCTTCGCCACCTCGTTCAGCTGTGGAGGGGGCGGAGGAGGGAAGCAGGGGAAGAGTGGGAGAAGGGACGTGGGAGGGGAGAGGAGTTGGGAAGGATAAGGTAGGGATGAGGGGTTTTGAGGGAAGGTGAGAGACGGGAGATGCTAGGTGCACAGGGGGAAAGACAGCAGGCCGCTCCTCCCCACGAGCTTCCCCAGCAGCTCAGCCGCTCCACCTCGTTCAGCTGGGGAGGGGGCGATGGGGGAGGGAGTGGGGAAGGAAGGCGGGCTGGAGATCGGAGATGGGAAGGAGTGGTAGGGATGCGAGATGGGAGAGGGGGCCACACAAAAGATGACGGGAGGGGAAAGTGAGTTGGGAGAAAGAGAAGGATGGAAGGGGAGTCGCACCTGGTATATGCCAGAAGCGGAAGTTTTATACTACTACGAGTGTGATGGTATGGCGATAATGAGTGTGGCGACTATTATGATGGTGATACTGGTGATGGAGCATCAAAGAAGCAGAGACAGGCATGCATGGAGGTGGGATGGATGCCCCTGCGCCTGCCCCTACGGCTGCGCCTGCCCCTGTCCCTGCCCCTGCCCCTGCTCTTGTCGCCACGCCTGGCTGTGCACTGACGCACCTGGCAGACGATGGAGGGCATGAAATTCTCGTACGACAGGGAGTCGCCCACCGACGCCACCACTCTGCGCGCACACACACATGCACGCACGTCCACATGGCGCGGCGGCAAGCCGTGCAGGCAGTGTGGAGAAACAGGGGGAACCGGAGCGGATGGGATGAGCTGACACAGGAGAAAAACAGGAAGAGAGATTCTGAGATATTTTGAATAATATCTCTCGCACCCTTCCTTCTCACAACACGCCCTTCGGTCTCACAAACCCCTCCGTTCTCACACCCCTCCGCCACACACCCCCCTCCGGTCTCACTTGTTGCGCATTCTGTTGAGGAACTCCCGCGCGTTGAACCCGAAGGTCGCTCCGCACGTAGGCGGCACCCACTTGTACCGCTGCCAGGGGGAACGGGCGGGACCGGGGGGCCGGGCGGGCAGGGCAACAGCGGAATGAGCGATGTAGGGGGAAAGGACGGCAACGAATGCGATTGGGGAATGGTCAGAGAGAATGGGCAAGAATGAGCAACAATAGCGAATGCGCAACAAGGGGGATGGGCGTACCAGGTACTTAGGGCTTCTCGGTCTTTTCGGGTTGAGGCAATTGACAGCTCCCACCGTCTGCGCACAGGGGGGGGGAGATGGAAGGCAGGAACAACGCAGCCCAATATATAACACATTCTCCAGCCACCCATCCACACCGCCACTCGTTCACTCATCAACACACTCACTCATCCATCCATTCGCGTTCTGCCATATGTGATCTGCATCGCCCACCCTCTCCTTCGCCATCAAACCTTCCCCCCTCTCCCATTTGCAAGTACAACGCGCGTGCGCGCGCCTTACCCGCAGCAGCGAGCAGTAGTTGGAGTGGTACCGCATCTGTGCCTTCGCCTGCGGCTCCCACCGCCCCTCCTCGTACTTGCACACGCCCAGCTGTCGCCGCCCACCGCCGCCAACGCCTCCGCCGCCGCCGCCGCCGCCGCCGCCGGAGCCGGCGGCGGCCGCAAGCGGAAGCAGATGGGAAGAAACGTTTCCTGACGTAATGGTGGTGGTTGGGCTAGTGATGATGCGAGTGGCGTGGCAGACCAATGCTGTGGAGGTGAAGAGATGGAGCGAGGGGGATGCGACGACGAGGAGAAGGAGGAGGAGGAAGGATTGCCGGTGATAGGAGGGCATGGAGCAGGTTTGTTGTTGCGAGGGACGGCGGGAGGGAGGGAACACGTGGTGGGCGGCAGCGGTAGCTGCAGAGTGCAGCGTGTTGGTGCCGCTGTTAGTAGTAGTAGTAGTAGTAGTAGTAGTAGTAGTGCATGAAGTGTGCTGCTGTTGGTAGTGCTGCTGCTGCTGCAGTTGGACAAGTAATTTCCTCATCATGATGCTGCTGAATCCCAATTCGGTTCGGAACACAACAAGGAGGCCACGCTTGTCAACCGTTTCGCGATCCTTCTTTGCGTCTCCTTTCTTGTCGTTGTGAGCTCTAGAATGCCAACGGCTCACCGCGCGCGCGCGCAGGGTCGTAATGTGCGCTGCGCTGCCGAGTGCACGGTGCAAAACCGTCGCAATGAGAGAGAAGCGAAGCGTTGCGGCTGCGTCGAAGGAGGGTCCTTGCCGTGCGGGGAATAAGGAGCAGACCACGACAAACCTGGCAGATATTATTACCACGGTAGCAAGCCGACGGACATCGAGGGTAGTAGTAGCAGCAGTCACACTAGCACGATTCCCGAGGCGCCTCAAGTCTCGTCACACCGAATAGTCGCAATACGAAGATCGCGGAGTTCACGTGTGAGAGCGGCAAGGATATGAGCGACACGGATATGCTTCTGATGTAAGCGCACGAGCTGTGCGACGGACGGATATTGATGTGAGCTACTCGCAGCAAGAAGCAGAGAATGGGTCCTCTTCGTATCCAGAAATAGTACAGGAAGAATTTTGACCGTCGTAGTAAGTGTTGATGCTCCGCACTAGACCTCGCTGGCGTTACTAGTTTTCGGCATTGCTTTCGCAAAGATGGGTGATGTATGCGACCGAAGACTGAGGTAATAGGGATGGTGACATATTCGCGTGCAAGCAGCGAGAGATTTCAGCCGAGGACAATCAGTCTATTCCAACGGAGGTTCCCATCCCATGGTAGAAGCACGGTGTGGTCTACTACAGTGCAACGTAGGTCTGATTGCGATCGGATGGTTCATGGAAGGTGTGTCACCTGGTTGCTCGTGTGCCCGCCACGATGAGAGAATTAATTTGGTCGTGGTGAGCTTGTGCATGGTCTTCTGTTCGTGTTCTGTTCGTGCTCTGCGCAGTCGCTTTTTGTGTGTTCTGAATTTCGCAATGACTAGCGACCTGTCATCTGACCAATGCCGTGTGCTGCGTAGTGAGGGATGAACTCGTTGAGGGGGACAGGGATTTTTGTTACGCGAGACGAGGTGGGTTGGGGTCGGATCGGAACGAGGGATTGAGAGGTTTGAGATTGGATAAGAGGAATTTAGAGCGATGCGAAAGGCACAATGAGGTGTGGAGGGTGGGATCAAGGGTGCTGCGTGTCGCTGCTGCGAGCCGCTTCTGCGAAATCGGTCGCGTCTCGCTCTGCCAAGAAAGCATTTGGCGAATCGTGTACTCAGGGCTGAATTCAGAAGTCTTCAGGGATGATGGTGAGTTCATTCAGATCCTTGTCGGGCATACGAGCAAAATCGAGTCGAAAGAACTGGCATTGACAGGTTTCCTGTGAGCAGACTACAGTAAATCTTCACTCAATATTGCGAATGTATGTAATGGACGGGCTCAAGCAGGCGCATGCAGAGGGGCTGGCCAGGGCTGTCAGAGTTTCCAACTACAACACGCAGCAGGTAGTGGTCGAAGAATTTGTAGAGTGGTTAGAAGGAGCGGGTGATGGTGGGGTGGGTTAGAGAGGTGGGTGAGAAGCCACGGCTGTGGGAGTGTGCAACCACAGCCGTGAGGGTAGAGACACCACAGGTGGAGTTTGGGAGGAGAGTGAGGGTGCAAATATTTTTTGAGAATTCTAAAAAAGTCTCTGCAACCACAGCCGTGAGGGTAGAGACACAGCAGGTGGAGTTTGGGAGGAGAATGAGGGTGCAGATATTTTTTGAGAATTCTAAAAAAGTCCCTGCAACCACAGACGTGAGGGTAGAGACACAGCAGGTGGAGTTTGGGAGGACAGTGAGGGTGCAGATATTTTTTTAGAATTCTAAAAAAGTCTTTGCTGTTGAGTGCAATACATAGTTTGCACGACAACCTACCGCTCCTTCTAACCAAACTGCCCAACGCATCACATTGGTTGGTCCACTGCATTGGATGCCATAACTGTCTTGCTTATCCACTAGAAACTACTATTTTCCACATCCACAAGAAGTGTTTTCATTTTGGTCTACATGGTTTGCATGATTTGAGCGCCTGAACTCTGCCTTGTACACTCATCACAGGTGCAAATACAAACCAGACTGCCCAACACATCATTTTGATTAGTCCACTGCATTGAATGCCACAATTTTCTTGCTATTTCAGTATAATGCACTATTTTCCACATCCACAACAAGTGTTCCCATTTTGTTCCTGTTAGAGTCATAGGCAAGGATGAAATTTGAATATCGAGAGAGTTGGTACAAAGGAGAAACCTAAGGGGTTGTACCCCACAATGAGTACCCCACTAAGCCTACCCAAACTATAAACATAGATATATGTTTGATACACCCCCATAGGCCAAGTGGGGGAGAACAGAGGGTTACAAGACCAGTCAGGAAATGCAAAGCAAGCTCAGGGTGGATCACAACGTCACCACGCAGTCCGAGCACCGGCAAAAGGCCACAAAGCCAGTTCACAACAACAACACAGTGATCTCTACCTAGTAGAGCAAGCAAACAGGTATATATATATATATCACAATACAAACAAAGTCTACATCATGTGAGGAAAAGTGGGCACAAGGCCTAACAAAGTGCAGAAACGCTGATGATCACCACACGGAAGTGCCTTGGTGAATATCTCAGTAGTGTTGGGCCGAGTGGCCACGTGAGCAAGACGAAGCTGACCACGCTGCTGCAACCCTCGAGTCAGGAAGTAACGCAGAGCGATGTGCTTCGTTATGTGCTCCAGTCTGTGCTCCAGACACAAGGCAATGGCGGCCTTGTTGTCGATGTACAGCACTGGAGGAGAACGAGGCCGCTCTCCCAAGTCGGTCAGCAGCTAGGTGAGCAAGCGTAACTCCTGTGCAGCCATGGCTGTGGCGTAGATCTCAGCCTCACAACTGGAGCTGAGAATTGAAGACGAGCGTGTAGAACGCCAAGAAACTGAACCACAGCCAAGGCTGAAGGTGTAACCCTGTGACGACCGCTGCGTAGCCTGGTCGTCAACCCAAGAAGCGTCTGAGTGCCCAGTGAGGACAACTGCGCTCCGCCCTCCAAGCACGAGCCCCATGCCCGATGTACCGCACAAGTAGCGCAGTACCCTCTTCGCAACATCTATGTGCACCTTTCGGTGCCGACCAGGAGCCACGTAGCGAGCCAGAAGGCCAAGAGGGTACGCAAGGTCAGGTCGAGTGCAGGTCATCAGGTACATGAAGCAGCCCACTAGCTCTGGATACGGGCCACTCGGCTCTACGGACTCGTCCGAAGGTGGAGCTGAGAGCGAGTGGCCTGTAGCCAGAGGAGTGTGCTGTGGCAAGGACCAGGTGAAGCCGAAGCGCTGAAGGACCTGCTGCACCATGTGTGACTGAGTAAGTGTGATGGTGCGGCGTGCTCTGTCCCGGGTGATCTGCAAGCCAAGGTAGCTACGCAGTTCACCCAGGTCTGTGCACGTGTGTCTCTTCTGCAGCTCCGACTTCATGTGGGTGAGAGCCTCAGTGTCAGCAGTGGCAAAGACCAAGTCGTCAACGTACACGAAAATGTTGAACGACGGAAGCGACGTGTCGGTGCGTAGAAACAGCGACGGGTCAGTAGTCAACGGAGCAAACCCAAGAGTCGCAAGTGTAGTCCCCAGTGTGTCGTGCCACTCACGTGGTGCCTGGCGGAGACCGTAGACTGGCTGCCGGAGGCTCCACTGGGTACCAGGAGGGAACGGCCCAGTGAAGCCAGAAGGGCGGCGCAGCCTGAGAAAGTATGAACGAGAATGGATGAACAATGAAATGAAGTGAGTACAAGTACTAACCCTAATTGGGTTGTACCCCCGATGGGATACCCCAGTATAGCCTACACAACAACAAAGTTATAATGTTCTGACACACCCCCATAGGCAAAGTGGGGGAGAACAGGGGGTCACAAGACCAGTCAAACAAGGCAAAGCAAAGCTCTGGGTAGATCACAAAGTCACCACACATTCCGAGCACAAGTTCAAGGCCACAAGGCCAGTTCACATGCAGGAGTACATATATATATAAGGCTAGACAAGCAAGAGCAGGTATATATAAATGTAACAATACAAGTAAGGTCAAGAGGTGAGCAAGTGAGGCAAGACAGGGACAAGACCCAGCTGAGTGCAGAAGCGCTGATGATCACAAGGCGGAAGTGCCTTGGTGAGAACATCAGCAGTGTTGGCCTCAGAGGCCACGTACGCAAGCCGCAACTGTCCACGCTGCTGTAGCTCACGAGCAAGGAAGTAGCGGAGAGCAATGTGCTTTGTTCTGTGCTCCAGTCGCTGCTCTCGACACAAGACCAGCATGGCCTTGTTGTCTACGTACAGAACTGGAGGAGAACGAGGCGGCTCTCCGAGGTCAGTCAGCAGGTAGGTGAGCAAGCGAAGCTCCTGTGCAGCCATGGCCCCAGCGTAGATCTCGGCCTCACAACTGGAGCCGAGAACAGAAGACGAGCGAGTAGCCCGCCATGAGACAGAGCCGGAACCAAGGCTGAAGGTGTAACCCTGTGACGACCGCTGCGTAGCCTGGTCGTCAGCCCAAGAAGCGTCTGCATGCCCAGTGAGGACCGCTGGACTGCGCCCTCCAAGCACTAGCCCCATGCCTCACGTACTGCACAAGTAGCGCAACACCCTCTTCGCTGCAGCCATGTGCTCTGGTCGGTGTCTCCCAGGAGCAACATAGCGTGCGAGAATGCTAACGGGGTATGCAAGGTCAGGTCGAGTGCAGGTCATCATGTACATGAGGCAGCCAACAAGCTCTGGATACGGGCCACTCGACTCTACGGACTCATCCGAAGGCAGAGCTGAGAGTGAGTGGC